TAGCCCCTTTCCTAAAAAAAATAATATAATAATTCTCCACGTTCTGTAGATGAGACTTACAAATTGACAAAAATATTTTTTTTTTCCAAAATGTAAACATTTCAAATGGCATTTCCAAAAACCTAAGTTCCCTCCTTCATATCACTCCCCAAGGTTATCAAATTCACCGTGAGATATGAGCTTTGCAGTGCAAAAAACAAAGGAGGCAGGTAGTACACACATGTAAAATGGAAAACAAATCAAGATCTGTCATTTGCTATTAATGAAAACATTCACAATAAATTAGCCATTAAACAGCAGAATAAGAGTTGAGTCTTTAAGAGTTCAACATTAGTTCAACATTAGCATGCAATTCATTAAACATGACATGGCAAAATTTCTAAATGCACTGTAAAATAGGGGAAATCATGGACCAGTCCTTTTTTTTTTAAAAGATTTCCTTGTTTTCATAAGGAGCTCTGGTGCAGTGGTTAAATAATTAGGCTGAGAACCAAAAAGGTGAGAGCTGCTTTGCCAGAGAAAGAAGAGGCAGTCCACTTCTATAAAGGTTTACAGCCTTGGAAACCTATGGGGCAGTTATACTCTGTCCTATAGGGTTGCTATGCATCAGAAACGACTCAATGGCAATGGATTTGGTTTTGGTTTACTATCAGTATTTCTTAACCTTTGAGTCATTGTGAAACTCATACTATTTTGTTTCATCTTCTTTTCTGTCTTCCTTCAACAAACACACATGGATATTAGGTGGCAGGAAACAGGAATCACTCATTTCCCTTTCTTCTAACTCCGCAAGCTGAGAAAGATACTCAGCTCTCTTAAGTGCCCAAATATAAAGTAAAAACAATAACCAATAACTAATTCAGTAGATTTTTATTGCTCTTTCAACTTCAATAACATTTCCAAAATATACTTTTCTTCTAACAATTATGAAACAAATTTGAAAGGCAGGATCATTCACATTATAGACTTGTTAGTCTTGTACTTCATATAAATGAAAAATATCACTTCTCCATTTAAAATGTTTAATTTACTTTGGATTTTATTACAAAAAAAAATATTACCATTATAACTATAAAAGTCATAAAAATTGTAACTATACTGTGAAATTACACCTTAAGCTATCAAATATTATATAAAGGAACAATAAAATTCAATCTGTTTGTTTAAACACAGTAAACATCGGAAACAAATTACATCTTCCCTGTCCCCCACCGAGAAAAAACCTTGAATAATGAAGTAACAAATGAAAAGCCACAACACAAAAACCAATCAAATCTCAATAAATCTGATTTTAAAAACACAAATAGGAGTTTAAACAATTACTTTAAGCCAGCTATATAAGTCAATATACACTAATTTAATTTAAAAATAATCTTTAGATGATTCCATTTCCAACTGTGTTTTCCTACAATCAACACCCATTTTACTTTTTGAAAGATTAGAAAAGACCAGTTTATGTTAAAACTGCCAAATTTTGAACACTATTTCAAACTTCGAGTGTCCTGTAAGTCTTTAAATTTACTTTCTAAGAAATAAATAATTGCCAGACTAGATTAAAAGACCCTTCACATATTGGTGCCACTTAAGGTAACAATGATGTGATCTACATAAATATAGGTAAAAAATTGTTATTTAATACATTTGTGAATTACAATGTTATCAATGGCTTACATATCCAAAATCTGTGCACTTTAAAACAGAGTACATTTGTTAAACTGTTGAGCACTGTCACAAAACTGATGCACATGACATAATCCTTTATACAGTAAGCTTTGGTGTTACATCTAGGTTTCAGAAACCATTTTTGTTTCTACAGAATTTTAAACCTGCCTTCTGAGAGGAGATAACTAGAAAGCCACTATGTACAAACATAAATTTTGAGTATATGGAAGAAAACAAATTTTTGTTTGGATGGAGAGATAAAGTAATTCTGCATGGTAAAGAAATCTGCTTTATAAACACATGTATTAGTTAGCACATAGAAAATTCTGTCTTACATGTCTTACAGAAGACTTGGCAAATAGGAAAAGTTGGTATGCCACAATTTTTTTAAACAATTGATCAATAACACACACACACACCACACACACGCCGTCACACACAGAAACATTAAAAAGACTCTGTGCTTCACTTCTGTGTATTTAATTATTAAAGAATATGTAAAATCATCCTTTCATCATAAAGAAATTAGTTTACTGTTTTTTCAAAAGCTGCTATTTTAGAGTGAAACAGCATTCAGAATAAAGTAAAATTCAGATGGTCATCATCAGGATTTATTAGAGCCTATATAAACAGACATCTATAAATAAATAAAATAGGGTGGAGAGAAGACTATCCTGAGGTGGCTCTGTGGCCAGGGTATTCAGTAGCACTAAGCTCCATCCCTGGAAACCAAGGCATCTAAGAAAGTGCAGGGCTGTTTATTTGATTTTATTTTGTAAATGGAATATGTACAGGTTTAATTATTTTGCACCTTGAGGTAAATCAGTACACAGAAATTACTACTGCACATTTATACCTATTTAAGGCAATATTTTAAAATCAATACACATAGCAAAATATGCTTCACTGTCTTACAATGAATGTTATCCATGATCATTATTTTCCAAAAATAGTGGAAGAAATATCATAACCACATAAAACAAGCAGTTAATTACTTAAACATGAGTTATTTTTGCTCTTCAATGAAGTAGTCACATCAGATCATATAGTAAGACAAGTAGTCAAAAGAAAGTAAAAGCCATTAACAATTAGAGAACCTAGTAAAAACATTTGGAGTGCAAAATACATTGCAATTCATGGTTTTTCTGGCACTGGATAATTACTATACATAATTAAATAAAATCACAGAAACACTATGATCCCAGGTAGTTTTCAATTTAAATTTTAAAATCAACTTCTGTAAAATAAGTATTTTTTTAACCCTTTGGTGTCCAGACAAAAGGAAATGATGTGAGGAAATCTCTTCCTCAAGTACATCAGGGGAGTTTTAAAAATAGCAGCAAACACTGGGGTCTCTGGAAATGATTCTGCTGCTACGAATACAAAGGAATCACTTCAGTGGAAGCTCATAAACAATGTAAGCACCGAGGGTAATACTCTACATCATTGCCAATAGAGTGTCTTTTTCAAGCAGTACCAAGTGATGACAGCTATATGCTCTAAAGAAAAGCAGCTATGTGTCCAACTTTTATCTGAGGCAGAAGCTGAATCTGTTATTTTAACTAGAATCTGACAATGAAGTCTCAGATGGGAAAATGAGTTCATAAGTCATTGAGAATGAACTAAATACTTCAGGACTGCAAATATCAGCTTTTGGCATTCCTCACAATCCTTTACAATTCATCATACTCTTATACATTAATTACAAATGTTAAAGGAAGTATTGAGATAGCCTTAACATCTTCATCTTAATATTCATTCCACCATTTTTTATATTCCTGTGGCTTCTCAATACTCATTTGGTGTTTGTAAATTATTCTCTTGCCACATCAGTTTCACAACTCCCATTCACCCAGTCCTACAGGCTTAATAAGAACAACATTTTTTATCTCATGTGGAGCAAATAGTAAATAAAAGATGAAAATATTAGCTGAAAGTTAAAAAGACAGCTCAGAAAAGCAAACACTAAGTAAGGAAACAAATACTGAAACAAAGCAGGAAGAATGTCATCAATCTGAGCCATACATAAAATGTCAAATTTCCTTTTAAAATACAAATATGCCAGTACTTTGTATCAAAGATGTAAAATCTATTAACTGCTTTCTGAGAATAAATCATAAATGCAGTGAGCACCAACTATTTACACTAACAATTTACTCTCTTTGTGACCTTATTAAATGTTTATATAATATTTAAGCATCATATCAATTAAAATAAATAAAATATTTAAAAATGAAATCATGGGTAAGTAACTATTAAATATATTCTATACAAAAGAAAGAATAACAATGTAAACAGAAAATTCTTAGTAGCATAAAGTAATACTGATCATAAACCCATTTGAGAGAATTCTGACTCCTGATTAGTTAATCATACTACTTATGATAGAAAAAATAATCAAGAACTTGAACCTGATACAAATTAAACCATTTTAAGTAAAAGAAGGAAAGGCAAAAAACAAAATACATACTCTTGGATCTAATAAAGAATGCAGAAAAAATTGTATACAGGCAACAAAATTTAACTCTAGCAAATTGGCATTTTATAGCTTCAAAAATTGATGAAGTTATGGCTGGTATGGTGGTTAAATCAAATCACTTGCAATTGAATTTATGTCTTAAAATGGAAACTTAGATATGGGGATTTTAGGGATTGTTTTTAAAACATTTTTAAAGCATATAGGTCAAATCTATAGTTCTCATCTATACAGTTCCTACTGTTCTCTACATTCACTCCTATGGTCAAAAAAAAAAAAAAAAAAAAATTCCACTGCTTGTGAAACATGATAGACAGCTACAAAAATGAAACACACACACACACACACACACACACACACACACAAAAGCCATGGCATGTTACCATGTGTCCCACAGCATTGGCATAAAGACTCCCTGTTCTTCCCATAAAGCATTAATTGAATTGATATACTAAATGAAAGTTTCCCAAACAAGTTAAAACTCAAGTAAAAAAAATCATAAATATATGGGTAAAGTTTGTATCACTAAAGGTTGATATGAATTGCCACTGGCGAACAGACAGATTTAAAGAAAAGTAGATTGAATACATTTCCCTACATCTTTCTATTGCCGAGCAGGGAAAAAAAAATTTCAATAGAATAAATATTTGAATAGTAAAAATCATGTACCTCACTTTCAAGAGACCATTTCATTATATACACAATCTTCATGGCATTCATAAACTTCAGATACTACTTCAAAACACCCACTAGTCATGCATAAACATGACATACAATATTGTTATATACAGTGACATGACATACACACAGTATACATATACATATGTGTGTGTGTGTGTGTATATATATATGTGTGAATATATATATATAGATATATAGAATTCCTCTTGGTTCAATTCTATAATGAAGTTTCAGCATCCATGTATCTTTTTGTTGGTTCATCTTCAAAATTTATTTTCACACTCACAGGTTTTTCAGAGCTATTTAAAACAAAAAAAATGAGAGTAAGTATTTTCAAAATGAACAAATATTAAATTCTAAACATGGTCAGTATCTACTATAGTGGGTTTGATTTGGTTATTAACTATAAACTTATGACTTGCCATTATTATTTTACTGCCTTTTTTTAGTATCAATAAATTTAATTGGAAACAGATGTAAAAATGTTCTTAGGTTTTTTTTTAAATGGATATGTTTATGACTGAAATTCCTGTTTTTCTTACAACTGAAGAGGGGCTCCTTAAAAACAGCCAATATATGACTATGCTTGAGTTATTAATTGCACTGAATGTATCCAGAGAATTATAGCATGACTTTTATTTCAGTGGCAAATTCATTAACAAACATGTTTCAATTAATATAGAGAGGTATCAAATAATATCCTGCAAAAGGTAACAAATTTATAAAACTCCTCTACCCAAATTTGGTTCTCAAATACATGATCAACACACATATTCTATATTTTCAAGTTCATCTACAAATGACTCCATGTATATGGACTGATTTAATGTCATACATGAATATCTAGATTTTGAGAAAATGATTTTCAAAAAGGATAAATATATATAGTTTGCTGCCTTCTCCAGGCAAAACTGAAGGAAGGTCTTCCTAATATTCTTCTATTAATTGACATGGCCTAGACAATCCCTCACTTCAAATACAATAACATAATCATAAGGTCTTTATTTTATCCTAACTATGCTCATAACCTGGACCATGGGTGCTAAAAAGGTATGAAAAATCACTAAAAGTACAGAGAATATTTAGTGAAACTCAGGCTGCACAGAATGAAGAACTGATGCGAAAGGACAATGCTTTACAAAAATATTTCAAGACCAAACTAGAATGAAGAAAGAAACAGCAAGGCAGAGAATTAGAACTCAAGTAATAAAGTAACAGAAAACAAAAAGCTATACTGATACAGTTTAAGTACAGAAAAGGTTCTATATGAAGGTAGGGAAAGAATGAGAAAAAGTTAATCAAAAGACAGTACTCAAAAAGATAGCAAACAACCATGAATAGCTACATACCTACTTGCCTAGAAAACAGTTTTGATCTGACATCTGAGCAGACTACAATGGCACCCAGCATAGCGTCAGGCACAAAGTAGCCAAAACGTTAAGTATTTGTTGAATATGAACTACTGAACACCCTGCAGGGGAATATCTCAACTCTCCAGAGACCTAATGGTTAAAGTACTGATAAAAGTAGAATTGAGGGATTAAAAAAAAAAAGCAGGGGGAGGGGGAGGATTACATAACAAGAAGTATAAGGAAGACGTTATATGATAGTTTCAATCTATGGTCCTTTATAAAACTGAATGGCTTTTACATCTGTGGATTAAATTTCTTCCAGAAATATCTTCAAGAAAAAAAATATATTTATACATTTGAAGAAGAAATGGTATGCTAAAAAAAACAAAAATTTGAGAAAGAACACAATTGTTTTTCTTCTTTCTTAGTCTAGCACAGAGTGCATGATTGAGGTTAGTGTTCAACAAAACTAGTTATTTAATCCTAGTAAATTACCTTTCTTTATAGTTTCTAAACTTTTATAGAAGTATTTCATGCTATTATACATATCTGTATTCATTTTATTTAAAAATGTCTCAGATTCTTTTGTTGACAAGGGAGATAATAATAATAAAAAAAAAAAAAACCATAATTAGTACCTACATATAATTCCAGTGCACATTAAAATGATGGATAGATGGGAGGGAGGAAGGGAGACAAAGGAAGGCCAGTTTTGTTAAGTAAAGGAAATAGACATTAAGCAAATTAATTTTTTTGCACAGCTATCTAAAAGTAAATTGAAAACTGGCTACAGTTATAAATAGTTATAGCTAAATAGTTATAGCTAAATAGTTATAGCTCTATAAATAGTTATAGTTATAGCTACCTCGTGTTAGATCTGGTTACTCTGACATTCTCAGTATTCATGGAAAGAGCCTTCCACTGTGCAGTTTTGGCCATTTCATCTGATATGTTAACAACTGAGGGATCAACACTGAAGAACAAACACACTTTTTGGTTAGTATTCAGTACTTGCAAAAGCATTAATATTGTCATTCGTATTATTTACATAATATTTGCTTTCATCAACTTAAAACTGAAAACTCTTGACAACTAAGGTTTAGCAAGATAGCAGAATTGTCCTATTTCTGTTATAAAGGCCACACAGGAAACTTTCTTTATAATCAAAACTAGCAGTAAGATTATTTAAATTGTCTAGATTTATTTCTGGAACTTCTCTTCAGAATCCAATTGTGGGGTTCAACAATGTTACTCTAGCCTTGATGACCAAAGATGATCATCATGGTTATTAAAGTTTAATGTTGAAATAACATAAAAGAATAAACTAAAGTGCCTTAGAGTACAAAAAAATACAACCTCAAATCAACTAGAAGACTTTTATGATATTGTTGTTGTTGTTATGTGCCGTCGAGTCGGACCCAACTCAGAGCCACCCCTCCTTGGGCTGCCGAGGCAGTATCACTACGGAAGTAGATTGCCCAACCTTCCTTCCGAGGAGTGGCTGGTGGGTTTGAACCACCAGCCTTCTGGTTAGCAGTCAAGTGCCTTAGGCACTACGCTATCAGAGCTCCTAGAAGACTTTTATAGTAGCCACAAATTACGATATCACCAAGGAAGTATCTAAATGTTGGAAGGGAAAATTAAGATTATGATTGGAAAAAAAAAAACAAAAACAAAAACAAAAAAACAACCACCTTGTTTTTCATAGCTTTTACAAATCACCAGAAAGAATAATGGGGAATATGACATTTTTAAACCAAAAACAAAGCTCTGAAAATATTTCAACAGATAACATAAAAACACAAAATACTTCTTTTAGTGGACATTCACATTATTTACTGTTGAGGTGTTACCAAAATCAAAAGCATAGAATACTGTATTTTTATTACTATAAGGAACAAATGTAACCATTTCTATCTCTATGAAATATTGCAGAAAGTACTTTAAGACCCCAAATTCAATAAATAATAATGATATGTTTAAATTGTTCATTGCACTCAAGGTTGTCAGCCACAGGTAATATGCAAGTACCATGAAGTTAATGTAAAGATATTTACAAGCTGTGTCTTCACCAAAAGAAAAAATATTTCATGTAAACAAACTACCAATACAAATTTCCTACCAGATAATGGTAAAACAATGTAATGGCAGCTAGGTTATAAATGATTACATGGCACTCATCTAGAAAGTGCTAGCTTTTTAAATCAGAATGTTGTTTAACATTTAAGATAATAAAGAAGCATGATATAGTCATTGAAGAGTCTAAAGAAATGGCTGCTACAGCTCTACCACCAAGTCAATTTTAAAAAGTATACAAAATTTGAATGTCCAAGTTCACAAATGACAGAGCCATCTAATTTGAAATTATGCCCACCCTGAATTAATATTTATTTGCTTGGCTACCAATTTCAAATTATCTAAGAAAGGAATTCTTGAAGTATGTTAGCTTCTAGATATTCTTTTCTAAATTAAGAACTTTCCCATTAGTAGAAATCAAGGCATTTAAGAAAGTATACATTTCTTTTTTTTCCCAAAAAATACAACTAGATGAGAAAAACTCTGCCTACATTAAATAAGCTATTTTCATAGTTTACAAGGCTTTAAAATTTTGAAAGGCTGCCATATATTGTTTCATTTGATCTTCATAGCAAGTAATCAAAAGCTATTTAAGATTTAAAATTCTGGCAGATACACAGGTCAGCAATTTCCTAGCATTCATGATGAAATTGTATGCAAAGCAGCATTAATAATAGCTCAAATCACCACATAAAAGACTAGAGTAAAAATACAGGTAACTCATGCATTTTTCTTTTTGTTATATATCAGACATTTACAGAGCCTACCGAAACAGAGCATTTGGATGCTGAATATATTAAGATCTCTGTACTTGGTATGGGAGCCCTAGTGGCACAATGGGTAAGTACTCAATAGCCAACCAGAAAGGTCAGCAGTTCGAAGCCCTGAAGCCACTCAGTGGAAGAAAGACCTGGTGATAGCTCCTGTAAAGATTACAGCCTAGGAAAACCCTTGAGGCAGTTCTGTTCTGTTACATGGGGACACTATGAGTTAAAAATTGACTCAACAGCATACAGTAACATATTTGGTTTGCAATTTAAAGTATATAAAGATTTGAGGTAAATCATGAAAAGTGATGCATGATAATAATATCAATGACGAAAACAATAGCAAAAAGTACAGGAGAAAAATAATTAATGAAGTCATTTATTAAAGCTAATCAACTTGTACAAGTCTAAGTGTGACCCCTATATAAACAATAAAGAATAGTCAAAAATTTAAAAGGTTGAAGGAATTAAGCATCAACAAAGGTTTTTCATTCACTGGTCAGGAAAGGAACCTATACACACATTCTAAAACTATCTTACTAGGAAAAGGTGATCAGAAATAGAATACAAGAGGGGTATACAAATATAAGGTTTTTATAATATAGGGTTGTCTTTTAAAACTATAAAAATGTTTATCCAACCTTTACTTTAGTCCTTAAATGTAAATATAAACTGCCAAAATTAAATATGATAAATTATAAATGAAAATTATACAGTTAGATTCTGGAAAGTTACTAGAAAATGTAATTTTCCAGCACACATTAACCTCAGCCCTAATGAAGGGCAGAAAGGAAAGAGCTACACTATTGACAGAATGAGAATATTCAGAACCTTATGAACAGATTTTAAGCTTCACCAAGACAGATGGAGCGATGGAAGAAAAGTAAATCTCATAGGCTTGACATGGAAATTCGTTTAAAAGCATGGTCAAACCCAGCTTTTTCTTCACTCCTGACTATAACCTGGGTGGGGAAGGAGTGTAGGGCTCCTTTTCAAATTACATGAAGCCCTACTCTAGTTGATATGCTAGATGCAGATTTTATCATCTTTTTAAAAACAGAAGTCACAGAAGAAATATTACATAACTTTTTCATGCAGTTGATATACACATATATTTCAAAAAATAAAATTATATCTCACCTGTAATTTAGGGCCTTAACTGGAATTTGCAAGAGACTTCTCCCTTCAAATGGAAGGTGCACAGTATCACCATCATCAGCCTGAAGCATTCGTTCAGCTTCCTTTAGAGCACATATGTAAAATGATGACTTCCTCAGAATATTTTCAGCAAGGTAAATTAATAACTAACATCTTAAAGAATTAAAAACCCAAACTAAGAACAATTTAAGTATAGCATATCTGCCCATGACTGAATATTTTATTATGAACACATGCTTGCAGCATATAATGAAAACAACCACTTGTAAAGAATAATTTTTAAAAGGTATACTTTCCATTTCTGTAAGTAAATCATACCTTTTACTTTTGATTTAAAAAGCAATTTAGATATATAAATAAATCTGATTATCAATTATAATAATGCAGGAGTATAAGAAGAGACAAAATTTTACGAAATCTCGTCTTTTATCACCATAGAATATGAGGGAAGTTTCATTTGGATAAGGCCAAGTTTCCCAATCTCATCAATACTGGCATTTAAGACCAGATACTTTTTTTGTTGTAGAAGGTTGCTGTGTTCATATAAAATGTATAGAAACATCCCTGCCCTCCACCCACTAGAAGACAGCAGCACTGCCTCTAGTAGGACAGCCAAAGCAAAATGTTCCTGGGGGAGGGATGGGGGAAGTTGCCCAGGTTGAGAACAACTAGTTTAAGGAACAAAGACTGAAATCATGACCTAATAATGAGAGATGAAGGGCAGGGAAGTATGAGAGAGACTGAAAGTTTCCAAACAAGCCTTCAAACTCTTCTTCCTTCCTAAAGAACTCTCATAATTTGGAGGTATAATGTGCCCAGCTTAGAAAAAAAGGGGGAGGACCCCTAAACTTCCCAGCATTCCTTGTAACTTAGTGTGGCTGTGTGGTATAAGCAGAATTTATTGGATGACACTTCTGGGAAGATTCCTTAGAAAAAGACAACTGAGTAAAGCCCTTTCTTCCCTTCTCTACCTTTCTTCTGTCTCTAAGGATAACAAACAGCTGGAGTTCAGCAGCCATCTTGGCCCACAAGGTGAACTTCCATAGGAATGGAAAACTATATGGTAAGAATAGTTCAAAAGAAACATAGAAGACTCAATTCCTGACGACCGTGTAGAGCCATCATAGTACATCATGTCCCTTCCAACTTTTTTCTACATGAGCAAATAAACCCTTCTGTTTAAACCATTTTTTTCCTGTTATATAACACTGAACCTCATTCTATCTGAAACAGGAAGTAATAAAGAAGCAATTATAACTAAATATTTTATAAATATATTGTATCTAATTTGAAAAATAACAAAAGCTTACAGACATTTCCATATTAATATAGCTTTGAAGAAAGAAAACAAAATTGTTATTCTTTTACATTAATGGATATTTATAGAGCACACAGAGCAGTGCCGGATGCATGCTAATCTATTAGCTGTTTCTGTGGCTAATCTTTAAAACAGCCCTGCCACGACATTTTTAAAGTGTGTATCTTTCTTATCTTCAATATTCAAACAATATTCTGAATGGAAAAACTGAGTTAGGCATTAAAATCAATATAATTATCTACACTATATACTTAGTGCCTATTTTTTATCTTATTCAGTGATGGCAGAGTTGGTTATCAAAAATCAAATCAAATCTCAAATTCAGAATAATGTTTAACCTAGAAGAAGGCTATACCAATTTTCTCTTTTCTTCAGCTGAATTTGAGAGTTTCTATTTCTCTCACACACTGGTCAACATTCAGTATTATCTTTTTATCCCAACCAATGGGTAAAAAAAGTGTGTCTTTGTTGTTTCAATTTGCCTTTCCCTGCTTACTCATAAGGTTGATCATCTTTGCTTGAGTTTTCTCTCCTGCTAGTATTCAAATCAACTGACACATAACATTGCATATAAAGATAAAAGCTGTAAAAAATTCTCTATTAAAAGTTATTTGTTGTTGTTGTTGTTATATGCCGTCGAGTCGGACCCGACTCATAGCGACCCCTCCTTGGGTTTCCGAGGCAGTATCACTACGGAAGTAGACTGCCCCATCTTCCTTCCGAGGAGTGGCTGGTGGGTTTGAACCACCAGCCTTCTGGTTAGCAGTCAAGTGCCTTAGCCACTATGCTACCAGAGCTCCTAAAAGTTATTTACTTAAAGTATTTTTTATCATTATTAAACTACTATTAAAATTAAAAAGGTACACTAAAACTGTACTTATGTATTTTTAGGTAAAATTAGATGACAGATAAGTCTGTAGAAATACAAAATAGCTCAAGTACTTCTGACTATTGATAAGTACACATGTGATACATAATTTTTAAAAAGTATTCTTGCGTCAGTACAAAACAGAAGCAAGATGATGAAGATGAAAAGCCCAGGTTTGGGACAGATTACTTAACATCTCTCTTCCTCAGTTTCCTTATTTGTAAAATGGGGTTAATAATAGCACCTACAGTTAATACCAGGGTTCCTATGAGTTCTTGTGAGTATTTGCTAGACAGTATAAAAATATTAATCAAGGGAATGGGTAAATTTAAAATTCTTGGCTTTTTACCTCTTTCTCTTTTTTCTTTTTATCATCTTCTTTCTTTTTCTTACTTTCTGGCATGAGATCATCAAGCCAACTAAGTTCTCTTTTTGTGAAACACAGGTCCATGAGCTTACGTACAAAGACTAATGCAAGAACCTTAAAAAGGTGGGAAAGGGAGTATTAGCAACATCTAAAAAGATATCAATACTATCTTAGTTTAAAAGAACTGAACCACCTACTTATCTTCTTGAACTTTCTTCTCAGACAAAAGCTATAAAGGGAAGAAAAAAGAAACAGCATTCTTAACCTTTTCCTGAATAAATAAATTCCTTGCTTCTGCATACAATCACAAAGTAATTTACGCATGGTGAGTACTGTCACAGTAAAGAAGATTATGAATTTTTATAACAACTTTACATTATATAAGTATATATAAGTAAAGAAAAAAATTCTCCTACTATTCATTGTACTATTTGTAACATAAGAAGAAATGCAGAGAAAAGTAAGTAATTATAAGCTCCAAGCTTCATGTTTTAGTGGCAGAAGATGAGAACAGAGGCTTTTTCCTTCTATGGGGTATATGAAAATTTATGCATTGGTATTATATAAAAGAAAGTTAAATATCCAAAATACAGTAAAACCTGCAAAAGTCAGACTTGCATAAGGCAGAAACCTATCATAAAAGAAAAACTCAAATATTTACCATTAAAACAAGTAACAGGAAAGTGGTAAGACTGCACCCTGTCAAAAGCAGAAAACCTGCAACATCCGAAAAAATAAGGCAGTTCTGTCAATTTCCGGCTGTCACAGGTTTTGCTGTATATATGGAATCTCTTTTTAGATTTGGGGGCATTTCTGGATGAAGCTTTGTAGTCTTTAAACCTATGTCTCAAAGCTAATGCTATGGGACTAACTGAACAATAAAAAAAATATATCAGCATAGTCTAACACTCACAGTGCATCAGTGAGTCCTCAGTAGAGAGTAAAATCTCTTCTATGATCGTCAAGAACACAAACCATGTTTTGGTTCCTATTTCAGATGCACTGAGTTCAGCAGATATAAAATAAATGACTGCAAGGCTACTTACTTATTAGCATGAGCTTAAGTACCTTCCTTATCTTTGACTGACCAAGAATCTCAGATGCCACTATTTGCAGACATTAGAACACATTCTGACTTGTCTGAGTAAAATTCAATGGCTGAACAACTAAAGTAATAAAAATTCGATATTTCTGGAAACACATACATTTATTTAAAAACATTTCCCTGTGAACACATTTAAAGTACTAACAAATATCCAAGAATAAAATTATCTACTATACTCTCACCTAATTAAGTCAATGTTTTTATTTTTCTATATTGCCTCTGGTACTTATTGACTATGTCCATATTTAAATTTACAAGTTAGCAGTGGTATTTTAAGATGCCACTGTATAATCTATTCATATATTAAACATTTTAATATTTGAGTTTTTATATTCTGTTATCTTCCTCTATTTCCTATCTACTTCATTTTTTCACTCCATCTTGACTACAATGTAAACTTCTTAAATAACTCAAGAAGTACTGGAATTATCTAGTATTTAAAATTCAGCTGATAATCCAACTGAGCCTGCCATTCTTTCTAAGGGTAGATTTTTAATCATTTTTCCAGTTCCAAATTATACCTAAGTTTTCTACTCCTCCTAGGAATAACTTTAAAAATTATATAATGTGGAAATAATCCATTTCCTGTGGATTACAATCAGCAAGCCACAACCAGTAGTCCAAATCCAGTTGACTACCTGTTCTGTATGGCCATGCAATCAATAAGAATGGTTTTAGGAGATGAATATTAGAAATTGATTTGACAACAGGGAACATGAACTCTGAACTCTAACTAAAATGTCATCCCAAAAAAAGATTTCCATTATTCTCACTAACAGACTTGAATTTAAAAAAAAATTGTACAATTATTATTTTTAACCTCATCAATAAAAACTAATGGAAAGTTCATCTCTTGTTATATAAATATATACGTCTTATCTTTGACTTTGCTTCATGACCCACAAAGCCTAGAAGTATTTACTATCTGGCTCTTTAAAGACAAAAAAATTGTTGACCCCTGCTCCAGATGTTCAAACTTATTACAATAGGTGTATGTAATATTTTCTTGAAAGCTTCTATAAGTGTGGTTGGTTATAGCTCTTTTCTCTCTCTAAAGCTTGTATATTTCTCTCATCTTCTCCACTCAGGTTCAGGAGGGATCAATCCCTTACCAGTCCTTACAAATAAAAAAAACCTTGAATAATAAAAGATGTGAGGGTTATACTTTTTTCTGTAAGTATAATTTTAGCTGTATCCCCTAGACTTTGTTGCAAAGTTTTAGATTTCAACACCTATGAAATGGTTTTTTAAACTCAGCTTTCCACCCAGGGATTATTTAGATCAGTGTTTAATTAATTTCCAAATACTTAAAGCTATACAAGTGATTTCCCATCATTTATTTGAACTCTCGTTATTAATTATGAGTAGTGAGTATGACCTGTATAATTTGTAGAATTTTTTATTTTTTTAAAACTTTCTTTGTGGCATGTACATGGCCAATTTCTTCATGGGATTTACAAAAGAATGAATATTCTCTATTTGTGAAATGTAACATTCTCTGATTATTTAAAGAATTATATTGATCATTTTAGTAAAATCATGCTCAGTCTTAAGTTTTTATCATCTCATTCGCTGCCTTCAAGTCAATTCACAATGACCCCTATTGAGTTTCCAAGGCTGTAAGTCTTTACGGAAGCAGACTGCCTAATCTTTTTCCCACAGAGCAGTTGGTAGGCTTAAACCGCCAATCTTTTGGTCAATAGCCAAATGCCTTAACCACTATACCACCAAAGCTCCTTTTTTAACATCTCAAACCAAAACCAAACTCACTGCCATCAGTCGATTCTGACTCAGTGACCCCCCATTTGGTTTCCGAGGCAGTAAATATTTATGGAAAGAGACTGCCCAGCCTTCCTTCCGTGGAATGGCTGGTGGGTTTGAACTGCCAACCATCTGGTTAGCAGTCACATCCCTTAGGCACTATGCCACCAGAGCTCCTTTTTATAACATCTAGATCCGTCGAAGTCTGAAAAAGATGTATTAAAATATCCTCATAAAGAACCATGTTGTTCTGCTGTTTATACCTGGCTATCATGTTTGTTCCATAAGCTTTCTAAACTCTGAAATTGTTAAAAAATATAAAACAGAGTTCTACATCTCAAGGACTTAAAAAAAAATTCGAAAATGAGAAGAAAATTCAATTTGGAAAACCAATGGTTTATAGCTAGAAAGAACTAATTTTCAGTTCAAAACATCTGAGGTGCTTAAAATGGGCTGTTTTTTCAAAGTCAATTGTAAATATTAATAAAAAATTAGTATCAAAACACACAAAATGATGATCAATTAATGATAAAATATGTACTGGGGGGGACTTACCATCATGGGGAAAACTACTGCAGCAGATGACGCTTTTATCACCCACAGAAGAACCAGGCAAGTGAGCTGAATGACTGTGAAAACATGGACCTTCCAAAGAGGCACATATCGGAGGTATATCAGATCAGGCTGATGCTTAGCAGGCATTCCAAATAATTTTATGCGGTCAAAAAACTATATACAAAATGGAAAACAAGAAAAAACTTTCAATTAAAATATTTTATCTGCTATTTGGGCAAAGAAATTATATGTAACTTTAGGACTTTATGCTATTAAATTTAAACTACACCTTTCTTGATATGTTCTGATTAATATAAGAAATATTCTATGGATCCAAGGAAGAAAATGTAATTAATTTAAAAGAAAACTCAAGCCAAAATACATTAATTTCAGGGATTACATTATTGAGATAAATTTACGTCACAATCAAATGTACAAGTTCTCTTTGAACTCATTTTCTAATATGTAGAAGAAAAGAGTAACAATTTGAATGACTTCTAAAGTTTTTTCCAAGTCAAACCTTTCAATTACATGAAAATAACATGAGGTACCAAGTACAAATTCTTTGTTTATTAAAAATAAAACTATGAGCAAATTCCTTGGTCTTTCTGAGTTTTAATTTCCTCATTTTAAAATTGGGGATAAGATTGGCTCTACCCTACCTCACAAAATGGTAAAAATCAAGCGAGATAATGATATTGTGTTTGACCAGGGAAGAACAGATGGACTGTGTTGAAAAAATAAAGACACTGCCACTGAGAAGTCTTGCAAGCCACTAGCTACTAGTTGACAGTCTTAGATAATATGCTTTTCATAACAGGAGGTGGTCACTTACAAAAATGTGGAGCTAAACATGCTTTATGAGCTAAATGCTTTATACTAAAATTGGATTTGTACAAATCTTAACAGGCTGTATCTGGTTATTTTTCCAGGAAGTATTTTAAGTAAGACAACATCCAATAGTGAAAGCCCTCGGTTCTAGCTCTGGATCCACTGCTTACTTAGCTAATAACCTTCAGCAGATCTATTTCTCCATTTCATAGTTTGCAAAATTCCCTTGATGCTTTCCTATGTTGTTCAAGAATGCAAAAAAATAATTTCTGTACTAGGTTTGATAAACTTATTGTACCATACAAACAGCAGGTATCAATATTTTTACTGGAAACTAATATCTACATTTTCTTTTTAAAGTACTATAATTGCTTTGAAATGTTAAAAGCAGTATTTCCCCCTTGCCCCCATCCCATTATTTTTTTTATCCTTCTTCCTTCTTGCTATACCAGTCTTTATTGAGAGTGACAAGGTCTTCCATTGGCTTCAATTAAAAATAGGTAAGGACCATGTCAGTTCATGATCTCACTCTCTAAGGTTAAAAAAAGACAAAGTACGATAACCAACAGTCATTCGACAAATGTGGATTTGAAGTCACCAGTCAGAAAACTAACTTCCTCCCAAAGCCAAAGGGTCAAGAATAAATCACTACTATTATAAAAATAATCTTTGCATATTTAAAATATTTGCAAGTTTTTCTACAAAAATCATTAAATACTTATTAGGACTTGCCTGGATTCCTTTTAAAGAAGAAACTCCCATATAAAGGAAAACACCATACAGAACAGGCATGGGAATAAACTGTAAGCAAAACAACCAAAATTAGAACTCGTGTTACTAACATAATTTCTTAGGAATAAATACACAAAGACATACTAAGAATCTATGCTAACAGAATCAGATATTTTAGGGATGAGGACTAGACTGACCTAACTTTTCTATAAGAAAGAAAAATGTTAATAAAATACAACCTTCTTGAAAAATTGTTTGTATCCTAAGTGTTCCTTCCTAAAGAGGGAGTATGTACAGTGGTTTAAGAGTGTTGGTCCAGCAAATGACATCGTTTGAAAACTTCAGGCATACTTAACCAATCTGTGCTTCAGTTTCTATGCATAAAACATTCAGAAAAGTACCTAATATATGCATTAACTGTTAATGTTACTATTGCTACCACCACATGAATATTTTACAGTACCACTTACTGAATATAATAACTGAACTCCACTCTTACAATAAAGTCCTTTTACTTTGGCAGTTTGGGGATCCCCAATCACCTATCCAATTCATGCCCATACATCCTACAGAAAAGCCTGGTGCTTAGTGGCCCCCATCCGTTTACTCAAAAACCACAACCAGTATTCTGACTCAAAGGAGAAATGAGTAAAAAAAAAAAAGATCTAGCAATTACAGAGAAATCCCATATACAATACATATCGTTAACCAGCCTAGAATGCCCATTCTAAGGACTCTGGAAGAAAAATAAGTAATTCAGAAAGAGAAGAAAATAAGTTAAAAAATATCCAATCAATAACCTCAGAGAACTTCATATTTTACCCATAAAGCAGCTTCACAATAGTAGGAAAAGAGAAAAATCCGAACAAAACAACTCTTGGAAATTAAAGATCTAACTATCAAAATACTACTACAGAAGTTTACAATAGTGATTTTGATTAAAGACCAATATAATGATAAAGACAAGTGAAGGAATTTCCCTGAATAGTGAACAGAATGTAGGGGAGAGGAATGTTAGAACAGATCCAGAAGGAACAGAGGAAAGGAAATAAACAATGGAAAATCTCCACAGCTGAAGACTGTTTCCAGAGGAAACTTGCTCACAGAAAGACAAGCAGAATCAATGAAAACTCCACCAACTCATCTACCAATCCACCCAACCTCAACATCCCAATGAAATTTCAGAACACCAGGAGGAGAAAGAAACTTTTAGCGGTTTTCAGAAAGGTGGGGAGAGGAGGACTTCCAAAGGCACAAAGACCAAAAAGATACCAGACCACTCATTAGGAAAGCTGATCTCTAGAAAACAATGAAATAATAACTTTAACGTCCAAAGGAAAATCATTTCATACCCTGGAATATATATGCAACAATTATTGATCAATTGTAAGGTATAAGAGTAAATAAAGACATTTTGAAATATGCAGTAACACTGAAAGTTTATGACCCATGATACCATATATATATATATATATGTGTGTATGTGTGTGTGTATATATATATATATAAATATATATATAAATTACTCAAGGAGTTCTTTTAACAATACAAAAAAGGAAAACAAGAAAAGTGCAACATGCATATACAACCTTTAATAAATGAAGTTAACAGATATTAAGAAAATTTATTGAGTCTTGAGGCCTGTTTGGACTGTTATTCCTTACGCAGGAGGAGCACAATTAAATAAGGTATATTTCTGCTGCCATGCAGACCAATAACACTACTTACTCCTCAGAAAATATTTACATCATCATAATATTGCTTATGTGTTCCTATAAAGTTTATGCTTTTATATTTTAACTTAGAAGAAAAGAACAAAAGGCCTAATTATAATTACAGTACAGAATATGTTAATAAGCTTGACATAATAATAAGACTAAAAAAATAACCAACTAAGATTAGGGGTTGTAAGGGAGAGGGAAGATGGAAGATACTCCTCATGAACGAATTAACACGGAAGTCAGAGACCCTCAACCTTTTTAGTCTCACGATTCCTTTACATTCTTAAAAGGTTCTGAGAACCCCCTTACAAAACTTTGTTATGTGGGTTTTTATCTATCTATCTATAATTCTTTGCCATGCAGTCAATTCTGACTCATAGCAACCCTATAGGACAGAGCTGAACTGCCCCATAGGGTTTTTCCAAGGCTGTGATCTCTACAGAAGCAGAATGCCACAGAGCACATTGCGGCCTCCCGCAGAAACACTGGTGGTTTCAAACTACAAAACCTTTCAGTTAGCTTTTGAGCATTTAAGCACTGCATCACCAGGGCTCACTATACATATAAATTAAGATAAAATTTAAGTATCCCTTTTATTAATTTATTTTTAAAAAACAATAAACCCATTACAAGTTAGCGTAAGTAACATATTTGCTATGAAAAACTGTAATTTCAAAAGAAAATAAAATTTAGAGAGAAAAGTACTAGTGTTTTGCATTTTAAAAAGTCCTTCTGTGGACAGTCTAAAGTAGACAGTAGGATTCTCGTATCACATTTTGCATTCAATCTGCTACAATATGTTGTTTTGAAGTTTCTTTAGAAAATCCAGGCTTACCCAGTTACCATATTTGTGTACGTGTGTGGGTATAAAACATGCCCATGGAAATAACACATAAGCATATAATGCATGTGCACACACAACACACAGAGTGTATGTAGGAAATTAATGCATGAGGGGGAAATGTGTGGTTTGCAGAAATACCATGTAACGTGCCAATTATTCACATAAAAAATACAGTACGTGCTTGGAAAGGGTAGGCTCTGCAAACCTCTACTAAGAGGTCATGAATCCCCAGGGGTCCTTGGTCTGCACTTTGAGAACTACCGCCAGAGTTGAAAGAGGAACTTTGGTGGAACTCTAGCAATCCCTCCTTTCAGACTATAACATTTGGCTTTCAGATTAAGGCATTTGGCTGCTAACCAAAAGACTGGACGTTTGAACTCACCAGCCACCCTGTAGGAGAAAGATGAGGTGGTCTGCTTCTATAAAGATTTATAGCCTTGGAAACCCTGTGGGCAGTTCTACCCTTTCTTTTAGGATCATTATGAGTCAGAATCAACTTGATGGCAGTCAAGTTTTGTTTGCTTTTAACTCAAAAGATTTTTTCTAAATAAACTAAAAAATAAAATGATACATGCATTTTAACCTAAAATGATGGTAACTGACAGAATAACTAAAAATAAAGAAGTAAAAAGAGTTTAACTCTGCAGAGTTGGTATTGCAAGTACGGGAAATTGGGAGGCTAATTTTTCATTTTAGAACTTTCTTCATACTCTATTTTAATCTTTCTGCTATATGGAATTAATAATAAAAACTTTTTAAATTACTTTAAAAATTGAATGGATAACCTTCATCAGTAGGAGACTACATGACCATAAAAAAGGCAATAAGTATTTCTCTCGTTCCTAAGTACTTCTCTAAGTCTGCGCCTACTACAGTATACTAAAACTATCCATTTACCTGTTTCAACAACTAGACTGCCAAGTCCTTAAGGGGAGACAATAATGTATCCCATTGTTGCTCCAGTACTTAAAAATACAATCAGTACTCAACAAGTATTTTGTGAATTAAGGGGCTAATAAAATGTCCATGAAAGCAGACATTTATTCTGCAAAGGGGAAGAACATGCTCAGCATTTCTCAAACTGAAAGAACTGAAGAAAAAATTCAAGCTACAAATTGCAATATTTAAGGATTCTATGGTCAAGATATTGAATGATGCAGGAAGGATCAAAAGAAGACAGAGGAATACACAGAATAATTGTACCAAAAATAATTCATAAATGTTCAACCATTTCAGGAGGTAGCATATGAACTAAAACTAATGATACTAAAGGAAGAAGTCTAAGCTGCACTGACTGCACTGGACAAAAACATGGCTCCAGGAATTGATGAAATACCAGTTGAAATGTTTCCACAATAGGATGCAACAGTGGAAACATGCACTTATCTATGTCAAGAAATTTCAAAAAGAGCTTTCTGGCCAACTGACCAAAAACGACCTATTTGTGCCCATTCCGATGAAAGGTAACCTGAAAAAAAGTGGAAATTATACAACATTATCATTCATATCACATGCAAGTAAAAATTTGCTGAAAATAATTCTAACATGGTAGCAAGAGTAAATCAACAGGGAACTGCCAGAAATGCAAGCTGGATTCAGAAGAGGGGATGGAAGGAAGGATATGACTGCTGATGTCAGATGGATCTTAGCTGAAAGCAGGGAATACAAGAAATATGTTTATTTATGTTTTCTTGACAAAGCAAAGGCATTTGACTAGGTGGATCATAACAAATGATAGATTACGTTGTGAGGAATGGGAATGCCAGAATACTTAATTGTGCTCATATGGAACCTGTACACAGACCAAGAGACAGTGGTTCAAAAAGAACAAGGGGATACTTCATGGTTTAAAATTAGGAGAGGTATGAGTCAGGGTTGTAGCCTTTCACCTATCTATTCAGTGTGTATGGTGTGCAAACAATCTGAGAAGCTGAACTATATGAAGAGGAATGCAGAATCAGGTTTGTAGGAAGACTCATTAACAACTGCAATATGCAGATGACACAACCTTGCTTACTGAAAGTGAAGGGGACTTGAAGCAGTTACTAAAGATCAAAGACTATAGCCCTCAGTACGGAGTATACCTTAAGATAAAGAATGCAAAAATCCTTAACTAGATCAACATCATGATAAAAACAGAAAAGATTAAAGCTGTCAAGGATTTCAATGCCCATGAAAGCAGCAGTCAAAAAATCAAATAATGTATTACCTTGGGCAAATCTACTGCAAAAGACCTGTGTAAATTGTCAAAAACCATAAATGACACTTTGAGAACAGAGGTACACCTGACCCAAGCCATGGTGTTTTCAATTGTCTACTATGTATGCAAAAGCTGGACAACGAGTAAGGAAGACCGAAGAAGAACTGATGCCTTTGACTATGGTGTTAGCAAATACTGAATACACCATGGACAGCCAGTAGAAGAAACAAATCTGTCTTGGAAGAAGTACAGCCTTAGAAGCAAGGATAGCCAGACTTCATCTCACATACTCTACTGGTTACTTTGTGCTGCTCCAACAGAAGATACCACAAATGGGTGGCTTTAACAAACAGAGATTTATTCTCTTATAGTTTAGGATGCTAGAAGTCTGAGTTCAAAGTACCAAGATCTAAGGTCTGGGTGGAAAGACCCTTGACCTTGGGCTTCAGCTCTGCCTCCTGTTCCCAGCACACTGAAGCGAGAGGCTTTTAACTCAGGCAGCTACTGGCTACTGAAGCTAACAAACCCAAGGTCAACAAGTGAAAAGGCACAGTCCCAAGATCACCAAACATGGCAGGCCACTAGTTCAAGTCCAGAGACAGTCCCAAGATTGGCAGACAACATGGCAGGCCACTGAAATGAATACTTGGCTACATGCAGGGTCCAAGCATGCCAAAAAAGCTATAGACTGTTCCCAAAGCTTCTCCTTGTGTACTGGAAGCAAACCACATCCCTAAAGCAGCTACTAAGCTGCCCATAGCAGATTCCAACATGGAGCTCATCATGGGGAATAATTATAACCAGCTGCCCAAAATCTGGCCCAGCCAAATTGACCATAACCTTAACTACCACAAACACTTTGGACATGTTATTAAAACAGACCAATCCCCAAAGAAGGACATCATACTCGGGAAAGTGAGGGTCAGCGAAAAAGAGGAAGCACTTCAAGAAGATGGACTGACACAGTGGCTGCAATGATGGGCTCAAACATAGCAAGATTATGAGGATGACGCAGGACTGGGCAGCGTTTTGTTCTGTTGTATGTAGGATTGCTGTTGAGTTGGAACCAACTCAATGGCAACGAACAACAAAACTATATAAAGTCTTTAATACCACTCTATTACATTATGCTTTAAATAAATACACCCAACATACTAAAAATCATATCAAAATATTATTAAATAAATCCTAGGAATAGAAACTAATTTTAGAGTTTTGTTTATTTTAAAGTTTCACCTTCATTTGATGAAGTATATACTTTATGATAAAAAAGAGTTTAAAGCAGTATAACAAAGACATTTTACCTTTAGTACTGAAGTCATGAACACAGAGAGGCCCATTAGAACAAAAATCACGAGTCCTGTGACTCTCTGTTCACGAATTCCCAAAAACTTGGGTTGTTCCCCTGGAGCAGAACATTCAGATTCAACCTTTAAGCTGTTGACATGACTTATTGACAACACTGTTGCAGCCACAAACCATGGAAGTCCCATGACAGAGCAAACTCCCAACATAACACCAACCATGAGCAAATCAAGGTGATAACCAGCTCCTTTCTGAAAAATGAAATGAACATGAGTGTTTATAAGTCTAAATTGTTCTTTCAGATTAAAATTCTATACAATTAACAAAGAGGGAAGAAACTAATTTTCATCTTCTATCTTTCAATTTCTAGTCATTATGAAAACTCTTCAAACCCTTGAAGAAGTGACAATGATAGAACCAAAATATTTTTAAAAATTACCTTCAATTTGTGCTCCTTTCTGTTTATGATCACAGCTGTAATCTGTTGATCCATAAAAATGAGAATGGTACAAAGCAGCGCTGGAATAGCAGCTATTAATAAGGTCCACCAAGGATTTTCTCCCAATGGGCTTATGATCCAGCCTCTATTTGGATAAGTAGGCTGTTATAAAAATTAAAAATATTAAGAAAAATATTCCTTCCTCTATTGCACAAAATTTTCAGAGCACAGACTGGGTGTATTCTAAGAAATGCCAAGGTATCAGAAATGGATTACATCATGGGTTGCACAATGAATTGCTTGCAAATAGCCACAGTAATTTACCAATCCTTAGAAGCATGACTGTTTGAATATGACATAGCCACTGTTCTCATCCATCCAGAGGTAGAATCTATTTACCCTCTCCTTGAATCTAGGATGACCCTATGGCTACCTAGCCTTCAGAATGAGATCAAAATGACACTGGGACCTCCAAGCCTCAATCTGAAGAAACTCTGCAGCTTCTGCTGTAATTTCTGCTTTTGTTCCAGACATGTCAATGGGGACATGTTGCCCTCATGGGGCCAAATGAGACCTCAGACTAGACTACTACCCAGCTAAGCTCAGTCCTAACTGCCACAGCATTATCAACAAGTAAAGGGTTACTGTTTAAAGGCATTACACTTTCAGGAGGTTTGTTATGCAGAAATAGGTAAGTGATGTAGGGTGCTTTCAGTATGCTTTCACATACTGTATATATAATGAAATCAATGTACCTACTAGATCAGTACTTAAACTAAACTGCTATAAAAATCCTGAGACTAATGACACACCCATGCCTCTATATTCACTCACATTTTATATTACTACCGCATATTAATAAAGTTCACATAGTAAATATTTTTGTTGGATTGTATTCTATCTATGCATCCTACTTTGGAAACTACTGCTTTTAAAAATAGTATTATTTTTTGATATTGTTTTATTTTGGAAAAGACAAAAGAGACTAAACTTTTCTTCATCATATTCTTTATTTCTGCTTTCCTTCAAACCCTCTGCTTCTAAAAAAATTATATAATTTACTTCTAAGCAGTGACACAACTCAAAATGAAATTTCCCTTTCACCAACATAATGATAAACAGTGTGGAAGGTAAGCAAACAAAGTGAGCTAAGTCATAAGGGAAGGGGTGTGTGTGTGTCTGTGTGTGTGTGTATATACATAAATATAAAACTATATAGTTACTTCACTATAAGACAATTCTAGGATAGGAACTATTCAAAAGCTACCATCTTCCATTTAGAAGAGAAAATAGTCATTGGATGCTACAATATGCATATGATGACTGTGTCCTAGAGAACTGTAGTCTATGACTAAAAGCAAAGAACTCAAGTAGATGTTTGGATGAAATATTATTTTTCTTGTGGAAGAACACATTTGTTTTTCTCATGATTCCACTAGAAAATGTTACACAGAGTTTTCCAATTACTGTCAGACACACTACCCTTCCAGAAACTTAAATAGGATTTCTTGCCCTCTTACAAAGTCAAGTTTGACTTACTTCTTTAAAAAGGATTAAAAGGTGTTTTCTTTTCCCTGGAATGCATCAAGAATGCCAGCACTGTAAGTAGGGCCACATTTTTGAAATGGCTCTGCCAGGGTTATTTTCATTCACTTTCCTTGGTGAATTAACTAACTTTGAGACCTTATTTCCTAAAAAGATTTATTTGTTTCTTTTCAACATGTCACTTTCATATATGTAAGAAATATAAATGTATAGTATTTCCTTTCAAAGCATCAGTTCTTCAAAGAGATGATATATGTATTTTTAAAATGTAACTACTTAGGAGGCAGTGTCTCACTTTAAAGTAATTTGTTATTCTCAAATAACAAACAGTCAAGTGTTTCAAACCTTACCTCAAACTTTTCAGGAACATGAAGTTTAGGAGATGGAACTCCTACAAGGTAGTCAATTGCAACCATTATCACTATTGTGAGAAATACAGCAAAGTCACTGATTGTCGATCGCACCTATGTTAAAAGGACTACGTTAATATAAACAGAAATACTATATGTCTTTTCTAAAGAATCTACATCTTTCACAAATAAAATATGCCACCAGAAAGTATGAATGGGTTCTTTAGTGAAAGTATATCAGTGAAATATATTTATCTCTTTCTTAAGAGATAAACACATTTCACAACTAAACTACCATCTCTCCTACTGTGACTCAGATATATATTATACATCCTTCACTGCGAATAATTCTTTATTACAATTTGGCATAAAATATTGTTATGGACTGAATTGTGTCCCCGAAAATACGCATTATAAATCCTAACCTCTAGGCCTGTGGTTATAATCTCATTTGGGAATGGTTTGTCTTTGTTATGTTAATGAGACAGTATTACTGTATCATGTGTTTAAATTCATTTTCTTCTGAGATACAAAAGAAATAAAACAAGCAACAAAGATAAGCAGAGATGGGGAAGAGAGATGCTGAGCTAAGAGAAGATCGCCCAGGAGCAGAAGCTCAGAAGAGACAAGAAACTTTCCTCCAGAGCCAAAAGATAAAGTCTTCCTTTAGAACTGGCAGCCTGAATTCAGATTTATAATGTCCTAAACTGTGAAAAAAATAAGTTTCTGTTTATTAAGGCCACCCACTTGTGGTATTTCTGTTACAGCAGCACTAGATAACTAAAACAGAATTTGGTACCAAGAAGTAGGGATGCTGTTTTAATAAATACCTACAATGTGGAAGTTGCTTTAGAATTAGGTAATAGGTAGAGGCTGGAAGGTGTTTAAGGTACCTTATAGTAAAAGCCTATATTACCTTGAAGAGGCTACTGGTAAAATTATGGACATCAAAGGCAATTCTGGCAAAGGCTCAGAAGGAAGTGAGGAGAGCTATAAAGAAATTCCCTACTGTTTCAGAGAATGCATATGACACCAGCAACAGAATGTTCCTAGAAATGTGGATATTACGTGTGCTTTGGGTGAGGCTTAAAAGAAAATGAGGAACATATAACTGGACAATAGAGTAAAGGTGCTGCTTTTTATGTAGTGACAAAGAACTTGCCTGAATTATGTTCAAATGTTTAGTAGAAGGTAGAACTTGTAAGTGATGAATTTAGGTATCTCACCGAGGAGATTTCAAGCAAGATCTTAAAGGGGCTGTGCGGTTTCTCCTTGAAGCTTATAGTAAAATATGAGAGAAAAGAGAAAAACTTAAAAATAAACAAGGTAAAATGAAAATGAAACTTAAAAGGTATGGAAAATTCTGTTGTACCATCTGAGGACACATGTCCCAGAATGTGTCTGGATGTTGCTACATAATCTTCCGTTAAAAGAAATTACGCCTGTGACAGATGGATCTAACCAACTACCAAAGCAGAAAACCCATCTGCTTTGACTAAAGGGGACAGAGAAAAACCTAAAGGAGAGAACTCTGTCTGCCTCTTGGAATTCTACAGGTAGGAGACAGGTCAAAAGAGCTACATATGTTGTCCTCCAAGAACAGAAAAGAACCATCCCTGGAGCAGCTCAGTTGTTGTTGTTGTTGTTATGTGCCGTCGAGTCAAACCCGACTCATAACGACCCCTCCTTGGGTTTCCGAGGCAGTGTCGCTACGGAAGTAGGATTGCCCAACCTTCCTTCCGAGGAGTGGCTGGTGGGTTTGAACCGCCAGCCGTCTGGTTAGCAGGCAAGTGTCTTAGCCACTATGCTACCAGAGCTCCCGGAGCAGCTCAGAGATGAGCAGAATTGTTGGAAGGAGCATGGAAAGCAGAGCTTCCACAGTCTTGAAGGGTTGAGCCACAACTTCCTAGGTTTCAAAGTCAGATCTTTACCAACTCAGTTCTGGAGTATGGAGCGGCCATTCAGGGGTCCCAGAGGGATGGAGTCACTATCCAAAGCTGAGGGGGCAGGGCAGCTGTGCCCAAGGGGCAGAAGAATGGGGCATACCGAGGTGGATAGACTAGCAGAATGGGGCTGCCCTAAACCAAAGGAGCAGAGTCGCCAGCCCAAAGGGCCTGGAAGGTAGAACTGTAGTGCAGGGCCAAGGGGTCACCACCTAGAATCTACAGGGTATGGCCAACACTCAGAATCTAGAGGGCAGAGCCGTGGCCCAGATGGTCCCAAGAACAGATGATTATTTTCAAGTCTTGACAGTTAATGTAAATTGTTCTGCTGAGTTTTGGACTTGGTTGGTGCCTATTATCCCTTCTTTCCCTCCAATTTCTCCCATATGCCTGCTTATGCCTGCTCTACTACTATACTTTGACAATAGGTTACTTATATTTAAAATTTCACAGGTTCAAAGATGAAGTGCAATTTCACACCTAGATGGAATATGCCTAACATTTCACTCATACATAGATACTCAGAAGATGAATACCTTGGAGTTGATTTAAGACTTTGGGGATGATGTAACAGGATGAAGGCAAAAACATGAATTTGGGGGGTACAAGGGGTAGGATTTTAAGGTTAAATTATGTCCCCCAATATTATGTGTTATCCTAACAACTATGTCTGTAGTTATAATCCTATTTGGGAATGAGTTATCTTTTTCATGTTAACAACACAGATTAGTATAGTGTGTGTTTTAAGTCACTCTCTTTTGAGATATCAGAGAGATTAAATAAGCAAGCCACAGAAGCAGAGAAGGGGGAAGAGAGACGCCAAGCCACATGAAGACCGCTCAGGAGCAAAAGCTCAGAAGAGGGCAAGAATCTTCCTCCAGAGGCTACAGAGGAAGGCTGGCCTCAGACTCTGTACCCTGCATCTGGACTTCTAGCCTCCTAGAAGGTAGGAGACAGGTGAATAAATAAATGTTTTCGTTAAAATTACCTACTTGTATTTCTTTTACAGAACCACTAGACAACTAAGAGAAGTATTAACCTTAAAAATCATTAGTGCTTTAAAATAAACTAAGGAAATAAAAACTAAAACTATGAAATTAACCAGAACTTCAAAATTATATCCCAATTACCTTGGTAGGAAAATAACGCTTGGTCTTAAATTGCTTGAGGAATGAAGACAGAAAAAATGTTGTAAAAAATAAGATGACACACCAAAAGAGTACATCTGGAATATAAGGTCCATGAAGACTACAAGCTGATCCTACAAATGTACCATGAAAGGATTTACATTCCTTGAAGGGGGTAAAAAAAGGACCGATCAGTTTTCAAAAATCTAATGAATACATTAAGCTATGTTTTACTCAGAAAGAAAAACATTGCCAACTCATAGAACTATAGCACACCATCAAGTAAGACATACAAGTACAGAGATATTATCATTACAAAAAATGTGCATCTTAAATCATTCAAATACAATATTTTACCAAGCTACTTCATATACTCTTTTCTTTCAACCTCATATTCCCTTTAGTGAAAAAAATCATGATGAGTATATTAATTCCCAAATGTCCTCTTGCTGGTCCACAGTTTTATTTTCTTTACTTCTGAACAAGTGGTTTAAAAGTAAAAGCAGACAGGCTTGTGGTCAATGCTGAACAAGAATATAAATCAGTAATAAAAACTGACTCAAACACTAAGAGATAAAAACAAAAATATGCAATGAGCATCTACTGTGTATGTACTGAATACCACAGATGCTGGCTGGCATTCTGACTTCATTGAAGACCCTGGGATTAAAGTATGAGATAAGCAGCAACTGACTAATAAGGTATTTCCATTAACAAGATCAATCACACAGTATACTATAATTCAATTATAATTCAATACTGACTTGATTTTACTTTTGAGAAAAAAATAACTGAAAGCCAACCAGAAATTAACAAAAGTACATGGGACTAAAATTCCGTTTTTTCTTACTTATATTTCAACAAAATAACAATTCAAGTTTATAAAATGAGAAATGGCTGAAGATTCCCTTGTTTTTACTTCCATGTGCTGAGATTGATAAATCTATAAATTTAGAACATAGGTCATAAATAGAAAAGCCACCAAAAAAAAAAAAAAAACCTAAAACCACCCAACCATGATGACCCTTTCAGCTATCAAGGAAACATACTGAAAGACTTACAATTTTAATATCAAGATAAACAACCCATGTATCATGAGATTATTTTTTTTAATCACTTTCATTTGAACATCTCTATTAGATACCTCTTTCATAACAAAAATTACTTTTTAAAATATAAAATCAGTAGTAATGCATGACTCTAAGTTGATTACTGATACATAATGTTTTAAATCAGTAGTGTCCAATACAAGTTTCTGCAAAGATGGAAATGTTATGTATCTGCACTGAAGCCGGTAGTCACTTGAAGTGATTGAGTACTTTCCATGTGGCTAGTGTGACTTAGCAATCTTAATTAACAATTAATTAATTGCATTAATGTTAAGAATATAAGTTTAAATAAACACAAGCTGTTAATGGCTACTGTGCTGGATGGACAGTACAACCTTAAATCATCAATGGGATGAAATTTCAGATGATATCCGTCCAATTATACAGTTAGGGGTTAACCATCATCTTAGTGGGAAATGAATGACCTACAGCTATTTGTATGCTATAAAGAGCACCAAAGAAACTAAGGAGGTCTAGGTTCTAATTCTGATACTGCTAACATCACTTTATATCTTTATTCTAACTCCCAACCTGGGAAATATCTAAAACAGATTATCTTTTAGGACTAAAACAACATTTCCCAACAAAATCCAAAGGATCGGTTAATAATAAGTATCTAGTATAGTAGATGCTCATTACATATTTTTGTCCTTTTCCCTTTCTCTTTCTTTAGCACTTGAGTCAGACCAGTTTCTATGTGTTAAGCAGACAAATGATCACTTAGTCATTCAGGGCATGGCCACAGCACTCATAGTCTGCTACACAAGCTGTCCTTGGAGCAGAGGAGCTGATAAACAGTAACTGGCTATGGGCTGATATAACCATAAAATCCAATATGGGCAACCATAGTCCTAGTAAACACTTCCTTTGAATTTATCAATCTAAATGAAATTAGAACGCTAACAGGATATTCACATCTTTTTAATTATATCTTAGAAATCAAATATAGTCCATCTTTATCTCCCTTACCATATTTTTTTTCAGCATACTCTTTTTTAGTGCATCTTAGACAAAAAAAGTGGTTAACTCACATTTGCAAAATACAATATTATTTTCTGAAAATATATTAATAGCCATGGATCAAAAAGAAGATGCAGGTGTAATCAGAAAAAGCTAAAGAAAAGAATCAGGTTAATATATATTTGCAAAACCCTTCATTTAGTAATATACTCACAGAAACAGTGAGGTTTCCCCAAGAAATGTTATGTGCTGCTATATGCTTTGCCTTCCACAGCTCCAGAGTTTCATTGCTAGGGTTAGGAGGTTCAATACATACACATCTGAGAAATCAGAACAGGATAAATTTTTAAGGGTCTCATGTTTACATTTTATTAAATCAATTATACAATATGGTAGTTTATAACTGTTTAACTTTTTCCCCGTTGCAATGCATGGAGAGCACAGAGACAACAGAACAGATTTGGGTTAATACCAAGCCCACTGCCAAAGTCAATTCTGACTTACGGCAACCCTGTAGGACAAAAGTAGATCTGTCCATAGGATTTTCAAGGCTGTAAATCTTTACAGAAGCAGACCATCACATCTTTTTCCCATGGCGCTGCAGGTGGGTTTGAACCACCGACCTTGGCAGCCAAGTGTTTAATCACCGCACCACCAGGACTATACAATAAAATATAAACGATATAAATATCAATAAAATTTTACTTAATGAAACCAGTTAGATCTATCACTTAAACCCACTGCTGTCAAGTCAATTTTAACTCATAATCAGACCTTGTAGGGTGAAGGAGATTTGCTCCAGAGTTTCCAAGCTATAATTTTGATAACAAGCAGACTGCCACACTTTCTCCCAAAGAGCGGCTGGTGGCTCAAACTGCCTACCATTTGGTTAGCAGCCAAGCACTTAATCACTGTGCCACCAGCATTTCTGTTGTATCACTTAAGCAAAACACACTGCCATAAAGTAGATTCTGACTTATAGTGACCTTATAGATCAAACCAGAACTGCTTCATAGGGTTTCCAAGGCTATAAAACTTCCAGAAGCAGAGTATTTCATCTTTCTCCCCAAGAATGGCTGATGGATTAAAACTGCCCATCTTTTGGTTAGCATCTGAATGCTTTAACCATTGTGTCATGAGAGCCCCTTTTATCAGTTAGTGAGGTACTAATTTCTTTAAAAATGTGAGATGACACCAACACGTTTCACCTCTGTAGCAGTTGCTGCTCCAGCTCTCCTCACACACATGCTCTGCCTCCTATTAAGTCACACTGACAAGCTGTACCTCCTCACATTCACTCTTCATTGATTTTAAGTCTCAATCATAACAATGTTTCATTAGGACAGAACTAAGAGTCATAGGAAAATCATAAAGTTCTGTTCATAAAAAGCACTATCTCAACTACCTAGAAAAGCTAGAAGAACACATACAAGCAAAGGAACCTCTAAATGCAGATTTGAAAAATGAAAAGAAGAAATAAACATATGAATATTCCCAACTAGATTATGAGCTGCTTGAAAAAAGGCAAGAGGATCAACTTTGGAGTCGATCTAAGCATCATCATTTAACTAGCTGTATGACCCATGGCTTCAAGACCCCCAATTGGTTCACACACAAAAAGGGACATGATATGAATTAAGTAACATCATGACATGAATTATAAAACGTTCCTAGAAGAGCACTTATATATACTCAACGAATGTTACCTAAACGGTGTTCACACGTAATTATTAATTAACCAAAAGGAAGTACTTTGTCTAGCACTAGCTATAAAAGCCATGCTTCATAAAGGTCAAAGGAGAAAGGGCAAGGAAAGAAAGAAGACAAAAAAAGTAAGATTTTTAAAAATTAACTAGTTTAAGAGCAAAGAAGATAGCATATTTTGGCATCAAAGCGTCACTAATATTTTCAAATTGGTCCATGTTTTATAGGAATTTCCATATCCCTTTCTACTCATCCATCAAAGTTTAGTGTACAGAAGGAAGGCAAAGAGAAGATCAAAGAAAAAAACCAACCTCACTGCCACTGAGTCGATTCGACTCACAGTGAGCCCTCCTTAGGTTTCCAAGGTGATACCAATATAGAAGTAGATTGCCCAACCTTCCTTCCAAGGAGTGGCTGGTGGGTTTGAACTGTCAGCCTTTTGGTTAGCAGTCAAATGCCTTAGGAGGAGAAATTTGGAGCAAAGAGGGAGAATAGACAGATTTAGGGCTTACGTGGGTAAAAGGAGAAAAGCTGGACCTTTTCTTTTTTGGTAACCAAAGGTTGGGTAATCTACTTCCGTAGTGATACTGCCTCAGAAACCCAAGGAGGGGTCGCTATGAGTCGGGGCCAACTCGACAGCACATAACAACAACAACAATATTTCTCCATGTCAACAATCAAAGGAGCCCTGGTGGCCCAATGGTTAGGCACTCAGCTATTAACCAAAAAGTCAGTGGTCTGAACCCACCGGCTGCTCTGTGGAAGGAAGAGTGGCAGTCTTCTTTCCTGAAGATTATAGCCTTGAAAATCCTATGGAACAATTCTACTTTTTCCTATAGGGTTGCTAGGAGTCAGAATCAACTCAATGACATGCAACACTAGTGCCACAATAAACAGATGTTCACATCATACATAATGGCTTATAGACAGTAAATACAGGCACCTATCTAGATGTGTACAATTTTGATAGTGTATTTTACTTTTTATGGAATATATTTGCCAACATTTTCTAACTATGTCTATATTATTTTTCAAAATGGAGCTCTGATGGTGAAGTGCCTCAGGCACTTGACTGCTAACCAGAAAGCTGGTGGTTCAAACCCACCAGCCACTCCTCGGAAGGAAGATAGGGCAATCTACTTCCGTAGCGATACTGCCTTGGAAACCCAAGGAGGGGTCGCTATGAGTCGGGGCTGACTCAACGGCACTTAACAACAAACAACAACATTTTATTCTAGAATTTAAAGATTTTCCTTTTATGATTTTCTTATGACAAAGAACACTCCACAAAGTAGCACATATAAGTATACTGAAATTCTTCCTTAAAACAACTTTTAATAAACAAGGGCAATGTACCAAATGTGAGTGATCAACACGGTGGCATTGAGGAAGAGGAAGACACAGAGAGGTACATGGGAGGTAAAGACAACAAAGATGAACCCTTTTGCACAAATAGTACTATGTTGTCAATGAAGGCAAACACTGATATACAGGAGGATGGGTGGACAGGCTGAACTATTAGGTATATCTATGCAGGGGGCAGAGTGGCCATGACCATGTATCGTGCTGGCAGACAATTTTTCTACAAGTGTATTGGTATGTTCTGTAAGAATTCCCAGGTATATAGTAGACCTGACAAAGGAAAACGTTATAGTCACTTCTTGGCCACAGCCAACTATCCAGAAGGAGTGAGTAGTTGGACTATGGGCTCAGGACCATAATTGCAGGGGACATCAAGCTCAACTGGCATAACATACTACACAAAACACTGCTCCACATCCTACTTTGGTGAGTAGCAACTGGGATCTTAAAAGCTTGCAAGTGGACATCTAGATGTAACGATGCATCTCTCCTCATCCAGAGCAAAGAAGAATGAAGAAACACAAAGAACAATTAGTCCAAGTGACTGGTACACCATGTGTTCCTTAGCCTATATGACTAGGAGACCAGAAGAACTAGATGGGGCTCAGCTACCACTGTCAATCACTCGGGGGTGGGGGGATCTATGCAAGAAATCCTGAATAGACAGGGAGAACAAAGTGGAATACAAAACTCAAAATCATTAAAAAAAAAAAAGGGACCAGGTATGCTGATCTGATAGAACCTGGTGGAACCCCTGAGACTATGACCCCTAGCTGCCCTTCAGGTCTGGAACTGAACCCAGTCCTGTGGCTTCCAGCCAAACAAAAGACAGGCATATGAGCTAAATATTTACATTAGGTAGATACACTCCTTGGAGAGATCAATCACAGGAGAATAGAAGGGCTGCATATGCACAGGAAGACAGCCTGCGGGGGAGGAGTGCATGGGAGGGAAGGATACAGGGAAGAGGTAACTATGGGGAGGATGTGGGAGGGGAGCTGTTGCATTGCGGGAAATTGCAGTCAATGTCATAAGACAAAGTGTATGTGAGCAGCTATATGGGAAATGAATTTGCTCTGTAAACTTTCACCCAAATCACAATAAAAATTTAAAAATAAAAAAACACTTTCAGTAAACAAAGATCAGACTTCAAAAATATTAACTACTAACTAACTCACTGCCATCGAGTCATTTCCGATTCACAGCGACCTCTCCTTGGGTTCCAAGGCAGTATCACTACAGAAGTAGATTGCCCAGCCTTTCTTCTGAGGAGTGGCTGGTGGGTTTGAACCACCTTCAAAAATATTAATATTCATAAAATGTGAGGAATATATATAAATACACACACATATACATACAAGTGGTTAAAGAATACAAGATCCAATTTAATGCCTGATGGTGAGTTAGTTGCCAAACAATCAAATTTAAATCTGTCAATCCAATTCAAACAGAAGACTACTTTGATAAGTTACTTCAGTGAATAAAAATAACTGAATTTCATCAGCTGTGTTTATGTCCATTCAGTGCTCTGGCAAAAATCTCATGTAAACAAGCCAGTCATCCCCTAAATTGGCTAGTTGGGTAGATTTAGCTAGACAGAGGGCATCACATGGCAAAAATCTATCTTCTTAGGCTCAAACATCTCTGCAAACATAGATTTTAACACTAAGTATAAGGGCAAAACAGAAACACTTACGAATAGGTGGTCAATTCATCTAGGTTGTTGTGCATATTAAATGCATATATTTCTCCTAAATGAAAGATCTTCTCCAAAGCCTCATAGATAAATATGATGCATATGAGAGCTGCAAAAGCCTCCTCTGTAAATCGAGTAATATAACACACAAGGCTGCTTGCATCTGTTGCAACCAAAACAATGCACAAAAAAGAAGTCCACAGACCAATACTTGTTCGCAAAGACAGATAGGAAAGGTGATAATCTCTGTTTAGGAGAAAAATATGAATATGATCAACATATAAATGCATAATAGCATGTACACTTTAAAAGTTCTTAACAAACAATAAGAACAGCATAAAAATTTAAGATTCTTAAAGAAGACGATGAATTAAAGAATGATAAAATAATGATTAGAGAAAGCTGTGTATTTTTCTGGCTTCAACTGAGGACTACTAACCAGAACAGAAACCAGAATGGGAAAAATTACAGTTGAAGTCTTGGAATGGGAGATTCAGATGCAGATGCCAGGAGATCTGTCAGGAGCCAGATGTGAGATATTGGATTCTTGCCAAGACTGTGGATAAGAATCCACATTCAAAGCTGTGAGGTCAGCTGCCATCTTTGAGCCAGGCACTGATGTTTCCAACACTGCCAGTCAAGAGATATGGTTGCTAGGAGGGTGTTAATCCTTAATTTTTCCCATTCTGGTTATCAATCCAGGACACCTACATTTCACAAATCCAGGTCCATTCTACTGTCACTACATCAGTCATGACTGAACTGGGAAGATCCAGTTCAAAATCCTGCATTAAACTGACATAAAAGACTTGTAGTAAAAATATACTAGGCAGTAAATATTTCAAAAACATTAGGCCTTACTTTAGGAATCAGTTACAAGAAGTAAATGATCAGTCAGTCTATAGGAAAGAACAACTGGACCTGACTCCTTTCAAGGTTCAGAAGCTCTGTGTCAGTATGTCACCCAGACCCATGTCCAGACTGTCACTACCATCACCACCACGGCTTCCTCCACCACCATTTTTAAGCACAGACAGCAATTAAAAAAAAAAAAATTGAGTAAGAAATTACTTTCACAGAGTATCAAATGCTTCAGGCCATTGTGTGCTCTCTCTATAAGCCTATGTAGCATGCCAGATGAGTATCAGAATCAGTTGGTTTAATGAGCACAGAGTCAGAACAAGAGGAGTTATATTAATCAAATGCTTAATAGCATCAACCTGTTTCACACTAAAATAGTCATCTTCATATATGTCATAAAAGGACTAGTTGGTCATGCTGAGTCAAAATCTACTAGCTATATAGTAAATTGTATTAACCTCCACACTGCAAAAATCTTGTCAGTGGAAGCTCACACCTCACTCTCACTGCTGTAATTTCCCTTTTTGTTAACAGGGCCCGATGGGTAAAGGTAGCTTGGGCCTTCATGATCAACCCTGTTCTAAGCTTTCTTTATAAGAATAACATGTACACTATTCAATAAATAATATGGATTAACACCTTCTTGCTGGTTGAAATGAGCTAGCACAAAGAATTTTTATTGCTTTTCAAGTAATTTGCTTATCTGTATTCAAATTTGTTGATTTTACACTCAAGGACCACCTCATTTTCTTCATTCCCAAGTTATTGGGATAGAGTGTCCAGAGTTGGGTTGACCACACAGTAGTCCAAGAGTACTCAATATATACACATCGATCAGATTCCTTTCCAGATGTCAAATATATGATGTACTTTTAGCTAAAGTTAGTAAGCAATGATACATATAATTGTGCATATATGCAAACACATGCAACTGGCACATAGCTATTACTTACCTGCAAAATTTAAATAAAATTTTTTCAAATACTAGAACTGGACCTGTGCTGCCCAATATTGTAAGAGGTTGCCCAGCAAACAATGAATAGGCAATCCCAGTTAATGATGCTCCAAAAAGAGATTCTATTGCACTCTGTTTAAGGAAAAAAGATACAAATAAAAGCAATACATCATAAACATATCTCTAATCTACTTGTAAAACATCTGGAAACCAAATGAAAATAAAAACACTAATTACAAGTAGTTATAAATATACAGCAAACACAACTTTGAATCTTTTAAAATTGTAAATATGTAAAATCACAAATACCTTCTAAATACACAGGGAAAAATGTTTTCATTTTGCTTATTATAAGTGAAAACTGTGCAATCAATCTTAATTTCAAAATTCAAAACTATGAGAAGGTAGGAAGTAGGAGTAAATGGAAAAGAAACACAGGGGCTTCAACTTTATCCACAGATGTTTTATTTCTTAAGTCTGGTACAAAGCAGCATATATCATTTTAAATAATTTTATATGTTTAAAATAATCCATTTTAAAAAATAGAAAACATATTAAATATTCAATATGGTGTGTTAAAAAAATCCAGAGATGAATATAAAAAATTATCATGCAACCTTATCTTTCCCAGATTGATTTCAAAAGAGCCATTCTCCACACATTTAAAGAAGTTATTCATTATGATAGACTTAACCCATTGATAAAATCAAAATGCTTAACATAAATAGATGAAAAATCTCTTTAAATAATTCACAGCAACCAAAAATGAGGAAGTATCTTATTGTCCTTAAAGTTTGACAAAGAAGACACAATGACCAAAGTAGAAGACTCAGAAATTTTGTATCACTATCCTTAAATTCTGCTGGCGGTTCAAACCCACCAGCCACTCCTAGGAAGGAAGGTTGGGCAATCCTACTTCCGTAGTGATACTGCCTCGGAAACCCAAGGAGGGGTCGCTGTAAGTCGGGTTTGACTCGACGGCACATAACAACAACAACAACAATCCTTAATTTCTAAGTGGGTAGTGTATTAGATGGTAAGGGGTGATGGTAAGTTATGCCACTGAACAAAGGGAAAGAACCAGAAAGAAAAGGAAAGAATAGTTTACCATTCACAAACATGGAAGTCAAGTAGAATGCATTCTCTCAAGAAAGGAAGAAGCCCACAAGCAGTAACCGCAGGGACAGCAAGCTTGTGAATAACCACCACCCTGTAGTGCCTACAGCATGTGACTGCTAACCAGAAGGCCGGCAGTTCAAACCCACCAGCCACACTGCTCAGAAGGAAGACTGGGCAATCCACTCCCATAGAGTTACTGCCTCAGAAACCCAAGAAAGGGTCACTATGAATCGGGATCGGCTCCAGGGCAGTGAGGGTTTTTTTTTTTTTTTTCTTTGTAATTGAGAGGCAGCACAGCAGAACACAGAGAACAGGGCTTCAGATCCAGATTTTGAAGTGAAAAACTGCCTCTGGAATGACTAGCTGTTGAGCCAGGGCCACCATCTTAAGCTTTTCCAGCCCCTGGTTACTCACTTTTAAATGGGAGTGACCATTTAAACCAAGAGAACTTAAGGAAGTGGTGTTTGTGAAAACACCTAGCACGGAGTCTAGCACACAGAATGCACACAGTAAAAGGTAGCAATTCCCATCATCAGCTAGAGTAGCATCTTTCATAATCAAAAATCACAAAATAATAGTATGGAATAAAAGTACAATTTAACTATAAAACATAAAAATCAGATCATACATACATATAAACTTATCTTTTGGCAAGATGAAAAAGAAATGGCCATATTAACAACACATTTGTTAGCTATATGGGGAAAAAAAGTGTTTTCTTGCTAATGGACAAATAAAAGTTTGCCCTTAAAGATACTGCTAACTCATTATAAAATCCTTAGTTCAGTTAGGAATGAATTTAGCGGAGTTTAAATCAAAGGAAAAAAAAGTCTAAATGGTACCCAGAAACAAAAAGAAAAAATTAAGCAAGCAGATGGCAAAATAAAGAAATACTAACAGGGCAGAGATAAGCACAAACATAGTTTCTCCTTCCTAACCTTGGGTTGAAAAAGTAGAAACTGGCATGTGAACATCTCCCTTCCACTCTGCACTTGACACATTTGCTAGACACAAAAATGTCTTTTGCCCAGACTATTTTTTAAAAAAAATAAATTTTGAACTCTTTCTGTTCTTTAATTTGAGTCTCTCTTTTCCTAAAGAAATCAGTCCCACTGCACGGTCTTCTCTACCTCCCCACTGAGAGGTCTCCATTTTACCCAGTACAAGCCCTCTCCCATCCTCCCCGCCCCCACACACCTCTCCATTGTGCAGCACTCAACACTGGTTGCTGCTAATTCTTCTTCCTTCTCAAAAAAATCTCCGTTTTGTTTTTTGCAAAATTATATCATCTTGATTTCCTCTTCTAGGGCTCTGATTGTGCCTGTATATAATTTGCTAGGTATATTTTACTTCTCAATCTCATCCTTCTCCCATTCTATAAATTCAGGTTAACTTCTCATATTTACCCATTGCTTCTCTCCCTATGGTACACGTTAGTCTCATGTACTGTCAGTTTCAATACTCACATGTTTGTGAATGACTTCCAATCTTTATACCTCCTCTTTGTTGTTAGGTGCCACTGACTCAGTTCTGTTAGCAACTTCATGTATAACAGAACGAAACACTGCCTGGTCCTGACTACAAACTCTGGAACTATACTTCCTATGTCTCCATTTCTACATAAAGTTCCAAAAACGCATCCGAAAACAAACACATCATCTCCATGCCATTTTCTTTCATAATAGTCTTGGTTTCCCTATTATTTCAACTTCTACAACTCTTTGTCTATCTCACACAGCATACCATGTGACACCATGTGACAACCATACCACATGACTCAAGTAACAATGTACATAACTCTCTCATCTTTCCCACTTAAGTTTACTTGAGAACAGGAGGTACATGCTCATCTCCACTTGTGCATATCCCTCCTGTGTTTAACACACTATCACATGCACACAGTATTAAATAGCATGATGAGGTCGGCGGCCAGTGAGTGACAGTCCAAAAGCAAAGAAGCAGAGTTTCCATTACGGTAACAGTTAAGACACATCTCTACAGGGACCAGCAGAGTTATGTGTACAATTTGTGACAGCACATAAAATAACTTACTAAAAATATGTACCTTTCATACAATGATTAAAGCTTAAGGTAAAGATATACTAAATGTCTGAAAATGTTATAAGAATCTAAATAAATAAAAAAGTTGAAAGAAAATTTCAGATTAATCTCATATTACAGTCATGTCATGAAATACTTTAATTAAATAAGTATCATTCCTCAGATTTTAACCTTTTATCCATTAAAAGAAAAAAGAATTTCCTCATGAGTAAATATAATTAAATAAAAAACACTCAAGAACTCAAGAATTACAAATCACCTCATTTAAATGTCATTAAAATATACATACATAAAACAACGTCTTTCAAGATTTACAAAGCACCAGATACTTTGTTATCATGCCTCCCACAGCTCCTAACACATTATTACTAAGAACATAAAAACTTTCAGTCATGTCAAAGGATGAAGTGTTCAATTATATTTTCCAAATAAAAGCTTTGGCTACTTTCACACAGATTTAATAAAAACAAAATTAAATACTACTTTAAAAAACCCATCATTTCCTAAATCACATTCTCTTCTTCCAAAAGTCTAATATGGGCCTATCAGCCAGGCCTGACGAATTAATATTAATCATATGGCTCTAACTAATCCTGTAACGCCTTATAGAATGAAGTTGGTAAATCTGATAAATCTTTCCACCCATGACCCACCCAGAATCCGTTCAATTGTTCTCCCCCCCAACCTCTTCCCCAACAAAGATAATGCAAGCCTTTTACTTAGATTTAAAACCATTCATCCAGCAAGCCAGGATAAACATTTATTTTTCTTTTTACCTCAACTGTGCATCTTCTCCTGTTCAAATGGCTTCCCCATGTTTCCATAGCAATTACCTTTGGGGAAAGTCTGCTTTAGGACAGGTTAATCATGCTGTTGGTAGACTCTTCAAATAAAAGTATGAATTGTGAGACAAATGCACACAGACACTTGCCTCTGAAGAGCTAAGAGCCTGGCTACTACCAATCTTTGTACTCACTATTCTGCCTTCTGTGGCTTCTCCAAGCAGCCCTCCAAAAGTGATTACAGGAGACATACAGGCACAGTATAGGAAAAGAATCGAGGCCAGGCACTGCAGGCTTAATGCATCCTTGAAGTCACTCAAGAAAAAAGGTGCTTTCCTTTTGATGTCAAGTATCAAACCACCAAAAAGCCTAAATAGGTGAGATGAAACTCGTCAAACTGTACACTAGAGGATTCTAGCTAGTTCAAACTAAAGCTATGGGCTACATAAGACTGCTGATATCTAGTGCTTGGTCAACAAAAATTAAAATTCAATATAAATCATAGTATAAATTGCAGAAGATAAACTCATTTAATCTAATCCACTGATGATAGAGGGAAGGTAGATCTCAGTAAGTTAAAAGAGACATAAACAACTGTACTTAAGGACTATTCACTGAAAAGACTACAGGCAAATCAAATGGAATTTTTGACAAAAATATGCAAGGAAACGTGTAATAAATAAATCTAACATCCCATTCATGAAAATGAGCATAAGCAAGTCTATTAACTATTATCTGTTATAAATCCTAATGACAAGCATGAGAAACATCAGGCGGCAATCATAACAAAGCTTAGGTCCCCCAAATAATCTTTAATATGAATGTAGTATGCTGTGCTTAGATGCAATGAGTAGTAAATTAAATGACAGTCTTCAATAACTCTTAAAATTAGTACTTCAATCACATAAATACCTCCATTTGGGGGTGGGGGAGAGCCTGAAAACTATTTTAGTACATTTAATTTATTGTACATGTAGTCTAAAGGCTGCGCATATGAGTAAAACTAAATAGTTTTAATTAATAGATTAAAATTTGTATATTTGCACACCATTTCAATTACTTTTTTAAATTGGACTTTTGAAAACATTTAACTTAGAAACATTTCATTAGAATAAACACTCCATGGCTAGTACAGGCATTTTGTTTACCGCTATATTTCTCCTGTCTAGAACACTGCCTGAGACACAGCAGGCAACACAACAAATACTAGTGAATGTCAGAAATTCCAAAATGTTTTGTGACTCATAAAACAGACAGTCATTCAAATTTCTACTATAGACACTAGATGGAAAAAAAATTCATCTTGAGTTCTCAAATGCTTTGGATTTTTCAAGCTTTTCCATCTAGTTTTTTTTTTTTTTTTCTTAAGCTATTACTGAAATAAATTCTTAAAACATTAACAGTTGAAGAAATTATTCTATAAATAATCTCACAGTAAGAGGAATAACCTGTGCATTACAAAAGTTGTCACTGATAATCTACAAAGTGCATCTACACTATCAAATTAAAAACTGATTATGTAACAGATACCTATGTGAGGCTACTGGGTGACTATTGATCAGTGAGAGCCTGCCTGCCCTGGTGATTCTCAGTGACTAACACTATCTCAGTCTAGAGGGGCCTCTATACAGGAGTTGGCAAAATGTGAAGAACCACTGTTGGCACAGAGACAAGAGTCTTATTCTCTATTCTATAATAGAGAATAAGACTAATGAATACACTAGTCAATTAATTAATTGTAAGCTTAAGTTTTTCTAAAGTCTATATTCATTATGCCTGTTGTTATTTATTTTCTTGTATATAGTGCCATCAGGCACTTTATCAAAATCCCAAATAATATGTCTCTGTAAGGTACTCTGGTTTTTCAAACAAAGATTTGAGATTCAAGATCGTTTAGTTCCACAGTAACCACCAGTGGACAAAACAGTATCAGTATCACATGTTTATCTACATTACAGAAATACCATAACATTAATCTACTTCTACAGAACATTTTAAGGCAATGTTTGCATCTGACAATATTTCTAGTTTATCAAGAAATTACTTTATTAAACAATTCGTCTCACCAAGTTTCCAGAGGTCATTACCATTACATAATCATGTTTCTCCATCTAATTTTCTCATTTCTCATCTCAATTCAGGGTTTTGAGTTTACGTACATGCACAGAAAAATCTTTAGCTATAATTTCCCTCTGTTCCCATAATTCTCTATCTTGATACTGGAAATTTTAATAGGGTTCTGCACCTTTTTCAAGAATCTTTTGTTTAAGCAACAGAAATTAACCTACATACTATGTAACTATGCAGTATTCTCACCACCTGGCCCAGATTTTAATTTTCCATTAAAGTTGAACCCAAGTATATTGAAGCACATAATTTTAACATAATACACACATATAATAGTATACATTTAAAAATATACTTAAAAATTTATACAAGATTATATTCTAAGTACTTGGAAAGAAGAAGTATGTTTATGTCTTTTATATCAAATTTGCCCCTGGCCCTAAAAAAGCTAAGTGCACCATATCAGTATTTGTACCCACCTTCCAGTCCTCTGGAGCTCAGGCCCGGCATGATGAGCAGCCTCTTTGGGAGTATCACTCGAAGTGGGGGCAGATCCATTGGGAAATACAGGAATCTTTCTCTTTTCCTACATTTCACAAAAAGACATTGTGAGAATTCTCTTATAAGAAAATTGAGATGACATCTCCACTTAGAAGGAATATGGACTCCCATACTGATTGCAAAAAACACAACCGCTGCCATGGAGTCGGATCCAGCTCATAGTGACCCCTCCTTGGGTTTCCTACTGATAGGCAGTATCACTATGGAAGCAGATTGCCCAACCTTCTTTCCGAGGAGTGGCTGGTGGATTTGAACCACCAGCTTTCCAGTTAGCAGTCAAATGCCTTAGGCACTACACCACCAGAGCTCCTTTCATATTGATTACATATAACTAATCAGTGCTCCTAGGGAAAGCTTTTTCCAAATATAAAGCCCTATTTTAAATAAACTGTACTTTAGAAGGAAATCTAAAATCTGTTTCTAGTAACATTTGGAATTTATGATTTTTTTTGTTTTGTTTTGTGTTCTAACATCAAATATACGATACGAGTGCATACACACCATTTCAAATTACTACTGGCAATAAGAACATAAATATCATCTAATAAAGCATCTCCCCACAAAACTTTTTAGAATATTGTTCATATTAACTACTGAAAAAATACTTCACATTAAGAAAAAGGTAAATGCATTTTTCTTTTACTAAAATGACTCCTTTTCAATAGAAGTATCATATATTTTCATAAAAATCAGTTTCTTATCAATTTTTATGACAAATTCAAGAATAACACTTCCATGTAACAGGTCTTCTCCCCATCACATGAAGAGAAAGGAGTCAGCTTTAAATGTGTTAGCTCCACAAACTGCTGGGCCTAAAAGAATGTGTGTGAGCCTGTGTATGCATGTGTATGTGTGTGCACAAGATGCTATTCCAGGAAGTCAAAGGCTCTAGTTCAACTACTAACGTAAATTGTCTATATACTTCATATTTTTAGAGTAGCAAGACTCATCTGTGATTATTAGAAATATTATCATTTGAAAATGTCAAAATTAAAACTAACTCATATCTTACAGCAAAAAGGAAAAGGAAAATAAAATTATAAAATTCCTACCAAACAGTACTAATGAAAAATACTGCATATGACAAATGGGGCAAAGCTAACACACTTAAATTAAGAAAAATGAAAGAATAAATTAAGCATCTGACTGAGGAAAATGTGAAAAGGAAAAATAATTCCTGAAAGAATGTGAAAGCAATTAAAGAAAATAACTAAAAGGAAAATTTGAGTAAGGAAATAAAAACTTGTTTAAAAAGCAAGAAAAAACTAAAATAAATTTAAACTGTTTTGTTTTAAAAAACGTATCAGCTGATAACATGACATAAGATATGGCAAGAAAGCAATGACTTCAAAAACTGAGAGAATTTTGGAAATATATATGTATATCTGTGTACGCATATATGAAAAGAGCCCTGGTGGTGCAGTGGTTAAGCATTCAGCTGCTAATCAAAAGGTTGGTGGTTCAAACCCACTAGCTGCTCCATGGGAGAAAGTTGTGGTAGTCTGCTTCCATAAAGATTTACAGTCTTGGAAACCCTATAAAGAAGTCTGACTCTATTCTACAGGGTCACTAGGAGTAGAAACTGGACTCAATGGCAATGGGTTTGTGTGTGTGTATGTGTGAGAATGAGAGTGCACTTTGTATGACTCCATGCAAACACATTTGAAAACCTGGATAAAATAAGTAATATTCTAGAAAAATGTAATTTATCAAAACTGACCCCAGAAAAGACAGAAAGGTTACACAAGTCAATTTCCATAGAATAAATGAGCAAGTAGTTGTAAGTCTAGAAGAGTCAATTTTAGAAAATTTTACAAAGGAATTCTTCCAAACTTTTAAAACTAAAGTATTCCACGCTATTTAAGAGCAAAGAGGAAAACTTAGAATTCTTTTTTATTTATTAAAAAAAGTATAAAGATTAATATCAAAGTAGGAAAAAGACAACTGCACAAAAAACTGTAATCATAGCTTACAAGAAATGATGCAAAAAACCTAAATAAAATACCCACGCCTCACTTATTGACACTGCTAGATTCCAAAGACCAGGGCATTATGTGAAAATGGAGGATGACTACATCATTACCTAATTGTCAAAGCACTGAGAATCATGGCCCAGCCACATTGATACATAACCTTGCCATCACAGGCAGCATTATTTTCACCTTGCACCTTGGCATTCATTACTGCCAGACATAAGGTATTAATGTGCAAAATAGCAGAATAGTAGATTTTTACTATGGCTATAAATGTGTAATGTCAAATAATGAGATAGTAAGTGAGGAACAGGCTTACTACAAATAGAACACTAGTACTTTAAAATTCAAGTTAGATTTATGCCAAGAATGCTAGTGTGTTTCTATATTTAAAAATCTATTTACCATAGTAATTTATAAAAAATTCATATGATCATCTCCAGCGATGTTGAAAGAGCATTTGATAACATTCGAAACCCATTTTTATTAAAAATTCCAATGTAACAGAAATTTGAGGTAATTTCTTAACATGATAAAATATGTATTTTGGCCTCAATACAAGTATCTTATTTAATGAGAGAACAATTAGAGATACTGACTATAGTCAGGAAAATGGTAACAAATGTCCGTTTAAAGCCCTATTAACATTTAATTAGAAATTTTAGTCAATACAATCAGCCAACAACTATAACAACAAAAAAATTAGAGGCATAAAATTGGAAAAGAATAAAAAAAGTATGCAATAACAAATAGCTTTGAGATATATATATATATATATATAATCAACAATTAGATGACATTAATGAAGCAAAGATCTCATTTACAATAGAAACAATAAAATAAAGTACTTATGAATACACTCACCAGTAAGTGTTGTAAAGTGTAGATATAGTCTCAAGAACACAAAAACTGATTTGGAATAGAAAGACATACCATGTTCTTGAACAGAAAGACTCAAGGTCATAAAGATGTCAATTCTCTCTCAGTTCATTTGGAAAGGTAAATGCCATCCCAACAACAACAGCAAAAATCAGCAGGTTTTATTTCAGGAAGTGGAAATCTAATTTTAAAGCTTATACAGAAAAATAAATATGCAAAGATAGCCAGGGAAAGCAGACAACAACAACAAAAAAAAAAGTAAGGGGGAAGAGCAAGAGTATGGAACTGGTCCATGGAAAGACTGACCAATGGAAAAGAAAAGAAGTTCCAGAAACAGACCTAAATGCACAAGAAAATTTAGTAAATGATAAAGGTAACACTGCCAGGCAAGTGGGTAAATCTCATCTTTTTAATTGGGACAAACAGGCAACAACTTAGAAAAAAGATAAAGTTGGATATATATGCCACACAATACACCAGGATAAACTCCAAGGTATCAATGATTTAAATGTTTAAAAGTAAGTGTGTGTGTGTGTGCGTGTGTTGGGGGAGGTGGCAACTAAAAAAAGATTCAGTATACAAAACCTTGTTAATTATAGAAATATAATTTAAAACTACATTAGCATACTTGATATAGTAAGAAAAAAATCCAAAAGCTGGACAAGCTACTATGTTAGTGAGGCTGAAAAGGAAACAGGCACTCTCATACATCACTGTGGGAGTTCAAAATAGTTTACTCCATAGAGGCAAACTGGTAATATTTACTAATAAGTAATAAATAAATTTATCCTTTGAGTCAATAAATATAGGAATTCTGGGAATCTATGCTACATACAGATACATCTACACAAGACTAAAATGGCATATGAATATTGGTCATGGTGTGCAATAGCAAAAGACAACAACCTGAGACCAGGAATAGGATAAACTAAGATACAGTCATAAATGAAATAAAACACAGCTGTGAGAAAAAGGGTAAGGAATATGTCTATGATTTCTCATAATCAGATTTCTAGGATATATGTTATAGGGAAAAAGTAACTTTTGGTAAGAAAGTTAAGATTATATGTTGTGATTTCCTTGTACTGCATAAAAAATTAGGACAAACAAAAAAAAAAAAAGTATAATAAAACATATTGAGCTATATGAGGTGGGTATAGGGATAAAAGGGAAGGGGGACAAAGCAGGAGCAGGTATGTTCTCTGAACATACCTCTTTATACAGTTTTGATATTTGAATCATAAAAATGTACAACCTATTTTTAAGTTTCTTAATTAAAAAAGGAAACACAGAAGACAGAGGTGGGTTCTTACCTGAGAAGGAACACTTTTTGGTGGCTCAATGCGTATAGAAGGATCCCATTCTCCTGGAGGAAGGACAGTTACTTGATCTAAAAATTCATCAATCCCAGATAAGAGGTCATTTCTATCTTTTGCTTTATAAGCTACATCATGAAAAATCTAAAGAAAAAAATATATATCAAGTAAGAGGATTTTAATGTTGAAAAGAATAATCTATATTTGGTAAATCCACTTTAAAACTCAGAAATAAATCCACAATAAAGATAATTATCTAAATTCTTACACCTACCTGGGTAATAATGATAAAACATAACCTTCTTTTTCTTTTTATCAGTAATATCAAATGACTTAACCATAACAATCAAACAACAAAAGAAAACAGTGATGGAGAGAAAGTACTCATTTGGGTGAAGGGAAAGGCAATATACCAAAGTGAGTGACCAACACAACACTAAGGAAAAGGAAGACACAGACAGGTACACAAGAGGTACAGACAACAAAGATCAACACTTCAACATATATAATACTGCATTATCACTGATAACAAACATTAATCTATGGGTAAATAGATGAGTAGACAGACTGAATTATCAAGGTATGTCTATGCAAAAAAAGAATATACCCATGACCATATATAGGGTTGGCAGATGATATTTCTACATACATATCTGTATGCCCTATGAGAATGCCCATATAAATAGAACTAACAGGGGCAAAGTTATAGTAACTTCTTAGACACAGTCAACCACCCTGATTGAGCAAGTTGTTGGACCTCTGGGCTCAGGATCATGGTCTCAGGGGACATCAAGCTCAATTGGCATAACACACTACACAAAAACATTTTTCTACATTCTACTTTGGTGAGTAGTGACTAGGGTCTTAAAAGCTTGCAAGCAGCTGTCTATAACGCTACTATTGGTCTCTCCTTGTCTAGAGCCAAAAAGAATGAAGAAAACAAAAAACACATGAAAACAATTAGTCCAAGAGACTAGTGGACCATGTGAATCTCAGCCTATATGACTGTGAGACAAGAAGAACTAGATGGTACCTGGCTACCACTGTCAACCACTTGGAAATGGATTGGTGCAGGAGATCCTAGATAGAGTGGTAGAACAATGTGGAACAAAACTTAAAATCTTAAAAAAGACCATGTTTACTGGTCTAATAGAGCCTGGTGAGACCTCCAAGACTATGGTCCCTAGTTACCCTTCAGGTCTGAAACTGCACTGACTCCTGTGGTTTCCAGCCAAACAACAGATAGGCATAGAGGGTGAACATGACACCAGGTAGATACAATCCTTAGAACAACCAATCATGAGAGGGCAGAAGGGTAGTATTTGCACAGGGAGAGAGTTCAGGGGGCAAAAGTGCACAGAAAGGATGGACACAGGGAAGAGATAACTACAGGGAGAAGTGGGAAGAGAACTACTGCATTGTGGGGACTGCAGTCAATGTCATGAAACAAAATGTGTATGAACTGCTATATGGAAAATGAATTTGATCTTTAAACTTTCACCTAAATCATAATAAAATTTTTTTAAAAATAAAACACTGTGTTAGAATAATTTAAAAAAAGAGATAAATTTCCATGAGAAATATTCAGTAATTGTTTATGGAATTAAATACTACTATGTAATGTCATTCTACTTCTATTATATTTTAATAGCATTTATTCCAAGGAAATGATCATGAATACACAAATGGCTTAACTTAAATAATTTATTTGAACACATTTACTGGGTACCTACTATTTGGCAGAAGCAAATTCTAAGCAATGTGGACAGTGCAATTAAGAAGACAAGTAAGGCAAGGTCCTTACACTCAAGAACCCTATTTTTTATTGCTTAAAAAAAGAAAAAGTACCCATTAATCCTGACAGAACAGTCCTGAAGACCCAATCAAAAGCAAAGAGTTAAAGAATTAAAAAAAAAAAAAAGTACAGACAACAAGCACAATTTTTAAAGCTTACTGTTAAAGGAAGGAGAACTATCATTTAATATATATGCTTCACAATCAGTTTCTATTTCAGTGATATTTTAGTGTATTTTAATTACCTCATCAGTCATGAGAGTGGCTATTGATCTTCCAATTTCATGGTACTGTGGTGCCTTGCCTGCTGGACCCAGTAACAGAAACAAAAACCTATGGAAACATTAAAATGCTGAAGTACAACTCAATTTTAAATGTAAATAATATACATTCACAAATGTAGGCAGTCATAAAAAAGTCATTCAAATGTAAATAAAGAAACAGTATTTCAATCAATGAAAAAAGATGGCAACTATATGGACAAAATCAAACCCAAAACCAAACTCACTGCCGTCAAGTCAATTTGGCTCATAGCAACCCCTCCTTGGGTTTCCGAGGCATTATCTCTACAAAAGTAGATTGCCCAATCTTCCTTCCAAGGAGTGGCTGGTGGGGTTTGAACTGATACAGAAAGAAGCAGATCACAAAACTAAGAAAACCATATAACTATCATTTCCCATCTTCCATAGGGTAAACTGGTAATCAAGAAACTGAGGATTTTGTATTAAAAATTCTCACTTTCTACATCCTTTGGGATTAAACAAATAAATCTATAGTCTGCACTGACAAGTGAATTAGTAAATAAATTATCATTAGTTATCTCATTAAGTATGTGAAAGCAAGGTTTGCCAAACAAAATAGCAAAGACTACATATAAAAAAAAAAAAACCCACAATTACTCAAAGCATAGTTCTGGATATAGCTACTAATGTAGTAATTGTAGGATTTTAGTAAATTAATTCCTCTGGATTTGGTGGCTCAAGAAGACAAAATAAAGTATTATGACAAAATGTGCAAACATTTGGAGGCAAAAAACCAAAAGGGAAGAACACACTTGGCATTTTTCAAGTTCAAAGAACTGAAAAAAAAGTTCAAACCTTGAGTTGCAACACTGAAAATTCTATGGGCAAGATAATGATGCAAGAAGCATCAAATGAAGATGGAAGCAATACACAGAGTCACTGTAGGAAAAAGAACTGGGTAACATTCAACAATTTCAAGAAACAGCATACGATCAATAATCAATGGTACTGAAGGAAAATGTCCAAGCTGCACTAAGGGAACTAGCAAAAAACAAGGCTGCAGGACTTGACAGAATATCCACTGAGATGTTTCAACAAACAGATGCAGTGCTGGAGGTACTTACTTGTTTATGCCAAGATATAAACAGTTAACAAAAAGACAGCTACCTGGCCAACCAACTGGAAGAGATCCATATTTGTGCCTATTCCAAAGAAAGATGATCCAACAAAATGTGAAAATTACTGAACAATATCATTAACATCATATGCAAGTAAAATTCTGCTACAGATAATTCAAAAACAGGTTTAGCAGTATATTGACAGGTAACTTCCAGAAGCTCAAGCTGGATTCAGAAAGGACATGGAATGAGGGATATCACTACTTATGTCATATGGATCTAGGCTGAGAGCAAGGAATAGCAGAAAGATGTTTACCTGTCTTTTACTGAATACACAAAGGCATCCGACTGTGTGGATCATAAAAATTATGGATAACATTGCAAAAAACTAGGATGCCAGAACATTTCATTGTGATAATGAGGAACCTGTACACAGACCAAGAGGCTGTCGTTTGAACAGAACAAGGGGATACTACATAGTTTAAAATCAGGAAGGGTGTGCGTCAGTGTTGTATCCTTTCATCATCTTTATTCAATCTGTATGCTGAGCAAATAATCCAAGGTGGATTATATGAAGAAGAATGTGAATTCGGGATTGGAGGAAAATTCATCAACAACCTGTGATATGCAGATGACACAACCTTAAAAAATCTAAAAGTGAAGAGGACTTGAAGCACTTACTGATGAAGTTCAGAGACTTTAAAGCCTTCAGTATGAATTTCACCTCCCAACAGAGAAAACAAAAGTCCTCACAACTGGGCCAATAAGCAACATCAAATAAGTGGAGAAAAGACTGAAGTTGTCAGGGACTTCATGTTAGTTGGATACACAATCCACACCCATGGGAGCAGCAGTCAAGAAATCAGATGTTGTACTGCACTGGGTAAATGTGCTGCAAAAGACTCTTTAAAATGCTAAGGAGCCAAAATATCACTTTGAAGACTAAGGTGTACCTGCCCCAAGCCGAGGTATTTTCAATTCTCTCATGTGCATGTGAAAGCTGGACAATGAATAAGGATGACCAAAGAAGGGCTGATGTCTTTGAACTATGGTGTTGATGAAGAATACTGAAAATACCATAGACCGCCAAAAGAACAAACAAGTATGTCCTGAAAGAATTGTAGCCAGAATGCTCTTCAGAAGCTACAATGGCCATACTTCATTCTCACCTACGTTGGTCATGTAGTCAGAAGAGACCAGTCCTTGGAGAAGGATATAATCCTTGGTAAAAAAGAGGGTCAGCATAAAAAAGGGAAGATCCTCAACAAGATGGGACTGACACTAGCTGCAACAACGGGCTCAAGCACAGTGAGCTTTGTGAGGATGGCACAGGACCAGGCAGTGTTTCATTCTGTTTCACACAGGATCACTATGAGTCAGAACCAACTATGTGGCACCTAATAGCAATTCCTTTGCAAGGAAAAAGAATTTTATTTACAATTTTAAACACGAAACTTCACAGTATTCTAATGACTAACCAAAATGTATACAACTTCTTATTTAGTTATATCCTTACAGTAAAATACTAATAGTTACACTTATCCAAACTAGATGCATTCACCTTCCTACTTAATACTGTATGAATCTATGGAATTATTTTCCTTACTTAACACTGCACGATTAATTCAACTAATTGAGTAAAAACATCTTAAAAGTAAGCAAACACATTTTCCTCAAGCTCCTATTACCTTCTTCATACAATAAGAATTTAAAAATTGAGGTGGGGCAAGAAGGCAGACTAGGCAGAAGGATTGCACAGACCCTCTTCAACAAAGAATAGGGAAACCAATTAACACAGACACAGAAGATAATCTTGGACCCCTGAGACTTGAAGGAAAGGATACAGAATTGGACTAAACCCCAACTACCAGAAGAATTTGCGTGAAAATACCAAAAAAAAAGAAACCTACGGAGCTGCGGTCTGACAGCGAACTGAGTGACCCTGACAATACAGGCGGCTTAGAGATACACGACTGGTGGTAGGACCTAAGAATTAACCTAAAAATCACCCTGCCAGCCAGGGACTGCGCGAACTGTGCACCGTGGCTCGGGAACAAGCAGAGAAGGTGAGGAGAAGGGTGGGCTGAGCTGTGAACTTTTGCCGGTCCGGAGACCGCTGCCATTTTGTAGGTTTAAAAAGCGGCTTGATTATTTTTAAAGAGACAGCGCTCTC